AACCTCAATGGCCTGATTTAGAAAGGGTGAGAGGGAAAGATGAATTGTATAAAAACAAGTCAGAATCTAACTTTAATCGGTTTCATGGAGTTAAAGAGTTATCCGAATTAAAACCTGATGATAAAGTCTTTATTAAACTTGACAATGATAAAAAATGGCTAATCCCAGGAATAATTGTACATAAAGCTACAGAACCCAGATCATACATTGTAAAGACAAAGCGTGGAATTTATCGTCGCAATAGGCGTCACCTTCGTCTTATTGGAGATCATCACGATGACTTTAATATACCCATGGATGATGACGACGATGATTGTTTAGACATGGATATGCCAGTTGAGAATATAATGCGTCCAAATCTGCCAGTTGATAACAACTATATCCCCGAACTACCACAACCACTTAGAACTCGATATGGTCGTATTATACGGAAACCTTTCAGATACAGATAAACTGTACACTTATTAAAACAGTTAAATTATGCTTAAAAGTATTGAGCTGTATTTTCATTTTATTTAAGACTTTAGTTTGAAACATACTATGATTGTATGTATTGACTTACTTAATTTTAAAAGGGGGGAAATGTTCTGATGTGTAATAATATCAATTATTATATATTCATATTTGCCGCGTATGTTAATGCGCATGCTTGATTAGTAATAAAGAAGTTAAATGGCCGCCATTGTTGAGTCATACCACGACACCAATAGAACAGGCTAAGAGCGATTTTGAAACTACAGAAGAAATTAAAACGTTTAGGCTAACAAGAGAAAAATTCTGGATTGACAAATTGAAAACAACAGCCCCCCTAGGTTTGAATATTCATACGGCTAGCGCAATAGCCCCTTTTGTAATTCCATTTAGCGTAACAGCAGGAAGTGCATCCAAAATCATCAGAAAAAACTATACTGATCTCCAAGAAAATCACTCGAAAATTTTCACACAGAAACTTATAATTGCATATTCTAAAAATAAAAATCTGAACGACATCCTAGTGCACAGTAAATTAGATTAAATAAGACCAGTCTCCATCCTCACCCAAAACAAACCATAATATCAAATCCTATCCCTAACCGTTAGTAAATAAAATCAACTAGATATGAGAATCCATAGCCCTAACCCGGTGATGTGGAACAAACACGATTTTTTAGAAAATCCAATCCGTAGTAGGAAACACACTAATGTGGCTCTCTTCCGAGAGCCTCAAATTTATTTTCTTTTTTCTTCAGAAACATTAATACCAGAATACCAGAAGCACTATCCAAGGAAGACCATAGCGCCACCAACACCAGTAACAGTGAAATCGCCTTTGTATATAAATCTAATGTATTGTATGTATTTTTAATAAAACAAGCCAACAGTGAGGCTGATGTCCCCCGCCGAAATAGGAAAATAATTAGAGAGTTATTGTATTCCAAAGTCTCAGCAAATCAAATTGCTTATCGCTCTGCTTAATCTGAGCAGAAAATGCTCATTATCGATCTTAGTCAAGGTATTACTGTAATGAAACTATACACCAAGTTTCATCACTCTCACTTAATTAGAACTAAAGTTATAGTGTCCCAAAGCATCAACCAATCAAATTGTTTATCTCTGCTTACCCTAAGCGGAACGGACAGACAAACAGACAGACGGACGAACCCATTTTAATAGTTCCCTGCTTTCTTCGAAAGGCGGGGGACAATAAGCATGAACATTTACTCAATTCGAAGATCAACCAATCAAATTGTTTATCTCTGCTTACCATAAGCGGAACGGACAGACAGACAAACAGACAGACGGACGAACCCATTTTAATAGTTCCCTGCTTTCTTCGAAAGGCGGGGGACAATCAAAGTAGGAGAGTTATTGTTTTCCAAAGTCTCGACCAATCAAATTGCGTATCGCTCTGCTTACCCTGAGCAGAAAATGCTCATTATCAAACTTAGTCAAGGTATTACTGTAATGAAACTATACACCAAGTTTCATCAATCTCACTTAATTAGAACTAAAGTTATCGTGTCCCAAAGCATCAACCAATCAAATTGCTTATCTCTGCTTACCCTAAGCGGAAAATGCTCATCTTCGAACTCCATCAAGGCATTGACCTAATAAACACATACACCAAGTTTGAACATTCTAGCTCAATTAGGAAGAGAGTTATTGTGTCCCAAAAAGTGTGACGGACAGACAGACGGACAGACAGAAGGACAGACAGACAGACAGACAGACAGACGGACGAACCCATTTTAATAGTCCCCTGCTTTCTTCGAAAGGCGGGGGACATACACCAAGTTTGAACATTCTAGCTCAATTAGGAAGAGAGTTATTGTGTCCCAAAAAGTGTGACGGACAGACAGACGGACAGACAGAAGGACAGACAGACAGACAGACAGACAGACGGACGAACCCATTTTAATAGTCCCCTGCTTTCTTCGAAAGGCGGGGGACAACTAGGAAATATCACGAACTAATTTGTCATCATCCTAGGTCAGTGCTTATGTGGAGACTTAACCTCTCCCCCAAATTCTTAAACCTAACCGACAATCTCGCCAACAATCACGTGCCCTAACCCTATTTATATCTCAGCAACCTTGACGATAATTGGGCTGGCCTTAACAAATAGATTTAGTAAAGACAATTAAAACAAAATCTTGAACTATAAAAAACGAAACGATCTAGGATCTGTGTTTTAATCAGATTGCACTATACGGTGACAGCTACCCCCTCATCAACGGACCTGATAAATACTATTTTAGGGTTTTACATATAGCTTGATAAAACTATTTTTTTACGACTTAAAGATACCTCCCCGCGTCAAACTCGACACAAACTAGGTCATTTCGGGACTAACATATGGTTCAATTTTATTTCGGAAATTCGGTAATCATTCGGCCATCTCACCCCGCAGATCATGGTATATTTGGACTAAAAACATATTCAAACTAATTTATCTTTCAAACGTTTGCTTCAAAACTTTTTAAATTGGAAAAAAATACTACCTCATGCCGTCGAAATATATTTTAAGCAGAATTGTTTGTCATGTAACTTGGGTGAGGGGGAGCCCATTTACAGATTGTATTTGTCATTACTTTAGTTGTCCATTCACCATACATATATCCAACGTAAATTCTTGGATTATCCTCGTTTTCCGTCGAGTTTGTTGTGCCTTTAAACCCCTGATCACTGTTCCCACAATGGTTAGCTCCCTGAGTCAAGCTGGCACACAATAAATGAAAATGAAATGAAATGGGGTTTAACGTCCTACTGTCCTGCTCCTAACCTGGGCTAATAAAGACGGGCATACGCCATACAGTGTGCTATGAGGGAAATTTTGCCCGGGCAGCGGCGCTACGGCCTACTCTTATATCGAATTCCAACTGCCAAGGGATCTTTTACGTGCACGCCAATGTGTACACGGGACCTCGGTTTATCGTCCCATCCGAACGACTAGACAGCTGTCCTTGTCAGGCCCTCCGTCCTGCATCACTGACAAGGGGAAACCACGCCGGAAAATCTGGATGAACTTTCTCGGCCAATGCAGGGATCGAACACCCGACCTCCAGGCTAGCGAGCCAGTGTCTTACCCACTTAGCCACGTGATCCCCCTGACACGCAATAAACCGTCGGGTTGCCAGTATTTTTAAAGTAAGACTGGACATCTCTACTTTCCATATATACCAAATTTGCCGTACCTTTATTGGAAATAACTACCCTATAAATAAGTTAGGTCTATTTGATAAGGCCGGCCAACTTTCAGGTTTGGTCAAAGGTCACGAGATGTAAACAGGGCTAGCGCTAATCCCAACTCCAACCCTAACCCTGGACCTATCTCTCTTACCTTGACTCTAACCTACAATCTGGACTACAATCACGTCTCCTAAATTTCCATCTCAGCGACCTTGACGAAAATTGAGCATGCTTTAAAGGGACAATAACACTCTTGCTGGCTTGACAGCTCCAGAAAATAAATAATAGCCTTATTCTAAGTATTAGATGTTTAAGTGTCCTACCTGTTGTGTAAATTATCCATTACATCCTATTTTACCTGTCCAGAGGGTTCGAAAATATTTTAAAATCCAAGTCACATTTGAAACGGTTTACGTTAGGCTTTTCAAATCATCTAGTTGAATTTATCCAATTATTTAAATTAGGTGTGTTAAGATGAAATTTGTATGATTCCCCTTTTTCTGATACTAAGAAATTTACCTACCCTTGATTTGTTGATGTTGCTTTCTTTAATGTTAAATATTAAATTTGGCTACATTTTAGCATCGATTATTAAAGATACATTCCCACGAAAGTATTTATATAGGGCTAAAGGCTCAATACCACTCTTGTTGTAACTGAATAATATGTCCCAATCTTTATTCTGGTCAACAAATTGTACTATTTTACAATATTCCAATTAATTGATGATAATTGAAATCGGTTGATAATTGTGGTCTGTAGCCGTGCCACATGAAATGTGTGGTAACCTGATATCTCGGAAACCGCTAACCGGAAGTCGTCGAAATTTTGCCTACTCTGAGATATTATTAATTTTATTATAATCTGCAAGTTCCATTGAAATCGGTTTGTAATTGCGGTGTGTAGCCGTGCCACATGAAATGTTTGGTAACCTGATATCTCTGAAACTGCTGACCGGAAGTGGTCGAAATTTTGGCTACTCTGAGATATTATTAATGTTATCATATTCTGTAAGTTTCATGGATATCGGTTCATAATTGCGGTCTGTAGCCGTGCCACATGAAATGTGTGGTAACCCCCATATCTCGGAAACCGCCAACCGGAAGTGGCCGAAAGTTTTGCTACTAAGAGATGTTATCAATGTTATCATAATCTGTAAGTTTCATTAAAATCTGGTAACAATTGCGGTCTGTAGTCGTAAGGCTATTTTGAAATTCTTGCTTATAACCACATGTGGCAAATAGCCACTGCCGAAACGGTTCACCGGTGTAAGTTTCATGGTGGGCCGTTTGGAAGCCAAGACCTGATTTGATATTTCTGCGTACCTTGAAGACTATGGTATATACTCAACTTGACAACAACATTCACGGACATTCACAACCACAGGATTAGCCTACACAACCGTAAAGTGGGATTGCAGAACTAAGAACTATGATTTATTATTGCATTCTCATTTTTATGCAGGGTCCAATTCATTAGAGTAAATCGGAGTTAACTGGCCCGTAAAACCAATTCAAAGTCAGAGGTAAACCGCATTAAAGATTTAATTAAAGCAAATGTTTTTCTATTCACAATCACACTCAGACTCACGGTCAATTAATTATTAAAAATGCGAACAGATAGAATTGCCATTAACCTAGACCTTTCTATGCTTAAAGATACGGTCGGTGCATGCCCCATCCATACGCATAAATAAAGAAAATCTCCAAATTGATAATTAATTATTCCAACTTTGGCATTATGCCTAGGCTACTCATTAGCCTCATTAGGCATTTTCATCGACAAGCGTTAATCATTAGCCTACTAAATAATAATAAAATATTCAGTCATGTTGTAGGCCTATTTAATAAATACTACTACTACTATGAATACCATACTTCATAGTATGTTATTATATTCATTTTATTAATTTAATGAAAGAGAACATGCATTGGGTGGTGCCATTATTTTCCGGGTGGGAGGCCACTGTCTTATGTGAACTAAATCATAGAAATAATTTTAATCTTAACATCAATCAGAAGGGGGGGGGGGGGTGTTTTGTGTGCATGGCTGAATGGTTAGCTGTATCATAACTTACATAAGGTGTGTCATCATTGAGTCAACTGGCTTAGTTTCGATTCGCCGGGTAATGTAAATGTGTGACAATGAGTATGGTCGTCTGTTGCCTATCCAAGTGGGTTTTCTCCGGGTCCTCTGGTTTCCTCCCACTGCTAAAGACCCCTACACGCATGTGAATTATTTAAATAAAATTGCACCATATGTTTGATCCGAAATGACCTAGTTTGTGTCCAGTGGTGGTTAAACCCCATTTCTCTCTCTCCCTCCAAATATTATATATATCACCAAATCACACAGTTTGTACTGGGAAGGTATTTTTAAGTCCTACAAAAATAGTTCTATCAGTTCTCTCTCTCTCTCTCTCTCTCTCTCAATCAGAAAGAGGGATTGACACATGGAGTTGAGATATGGCTAATATAAATATGAAATTTTTCAAGTCTGTCCAATCTAATTAAAACACAGATCCTATTTCGTTTTGTTTTTTATAGGTCAAAATTTTGTTTTATCTGTTTTACTACACTAAGATCTGGAACAGTTGTTATATTACCAGCGTTTTGGTTGATGTGAGGGATAAACCAATGAAACTGTCTGTTACGGTGTCTTCTTGGCGTGCCATGCACAGAACTGTGGGTAAACCACTAGAAATGCCAAGGCTGATTGATTAATCAATGTCTGACGTCATAGACTCAAAAGCCAATTGTACGACCCCTGACACGACCTGCGAGACTACAGCTTGTCAGATCTTCATGTAGTGTAGGCCATCGAAAGTATAAAAAACGAAACGAAATATATATCTGTATTTTAATCAGATTGAAGTCTGTCAGTGCCGCCACTGTTCAGATAGCCTACGCTATCATTGTCATTATGCTGTTGTCTAGTAGTACTAGTATTCTAGTTACCAACCGTACATATTTTTCACTTCAGTAGGCTACCGTTACTACCTCAGTTTTTTTACTGGATTCTTGTCTTACTTTGGAATTATTCAGGATAAATCAGCCAGCCTACTAAGTACTAATCTGACATATACGGTATCTTATTGCCAACTAAATGCCAGGATTAATGTCAAGACTAAGACTATTTGATTAGTTACCAGTATTTTTTTGCCAAGCGTTGAATTGTTAGACCCCTTATCCAGAAGTAAAAGAACTTCAGAATAGTCAGTGGCGAATCTATATAGTGCATATGACAAGCACTGGAATTGCACCCAACTCTTAAACATTTCACACCCATTTTTATACGTCCACATTTTCATGTGGATGTATATTGTCGTTGCCCCTGTCCGTCCGGACGTCTATCCATTTACATTTTGTTTGTGGCCACTCGTCACAATTATCTGATTTAAATATATAAGCTTATTTATTATTGTACATTTTCCCCAGAACTATTCCTAAGATCTTTAGATCTTGCAAAGTTTTTATACGCCCACATTTTCATGTGGACGTATATTGTCGTCGCCCCTGTCTGTCCGTCCACAATTTGTTGTGGACACTCTACAGGTCACAATTCTTATCCGATTTTGACGAAACTTGAAATATAGGTTTATCTCTAAAAGATCTTGGTTGATTTCGATATTGGCATGTATCGGATCGAAACTTCATGGATTATGGCCCCTGATTGTATGAAAAATCACGTTTTTAGCTTGTGGACCCTATAGAGGTCACAATTTTAATCCTATTTTGATGAAACCTGAAATGTAAGTTTATAACCCAAAGATCTCGGTTCCTTTCGATATTCGCGCATATCGGACCGTAACTTCCAGAATTATGGTCCTTGATTGTACGAAAAATCATGTTTTTAGCTTGTGGACCCTATAGAGGTCATAATTTTTATCCGATTTAAAAAAATGTTTTAGTATATCACCGTTCGAATTTCATGAAAATCAGCCCAAAACTGAAAGATGAAATGGCCACCCCTCGTTCTCAAATAGCGTAAAAATATGGTATGTCAAGGTTGTGGACCCTCTAGACGTCACAATTCTTATCCGATTTTGTTGAAACTTGAAATATAAGTTTATAACCCAAAGATCTCGGTTCCTCTCGATATTTGCGCATATCGGACCGTAACTTCTTGAATTATGGCCCCTGATTGTACGCAAAATCGCGTACCGGTAGCTGCTTTGGGGGCATATTTCCATGCTTTGTATGACTATCTTCTGCTTATATAAATCAAAACAATAACAACAGGATAATTATTAAATTAGTAAAACGTCAATGGATTATTTTATCCTTTTCAGATAATAAAAGAAGATGGGGTGTGCCAGTAGTAGTGTAGCAACTGATAGTGCCAATGTTAAAGTCTTCCACAGACAAAAAGTTAGCATTAGAGTAGGAAATGCTGTGAAACTGCTGAAATCAGAGCCTATTCTCATATTTGTATTCGGTAAGATGACAAGAATGCAGTAATTTAAACACTTCCTGTGTCTGGGAACTCATTGTAATTTAAACCGTATGTAGCAGAAAGCCAAAACCAAGTTGAACCCAGCGAAGTTAGTGGTCGATACTTTTCTTCAGAAATAGCAAATATTTTTGGATTGTTAATCTCTAGCAAGCTACAATATTATGAAAGTTTAGTCTATAAATTATAAATTATAAAAGGTAACAGTATATCCGTCCAAAGATGGTTCAGTTCCATTCAGTAACAAAATATGCTTTAATTATTGAATTTACAATTTGATGTTCCTCACAGTCACAGCCACACTTTTAGATTTAAATGTTACTGAATTCACATAAACTTAAGTTATACTAAATTTTATGCGCCCACATTGAAACTTTTGTTAACTCCGAATTATCACCCATGAACAATTTGAAAAGCTTGTTGACTCTTTATAGGCTAAAGTTATCATCCAAATGATTTGAAATTGGTATACAGTGTTTCTGAAACCAATTCAGATAACTCAAACAGATACAAAACATTTTAGCATTGGGAAAAACTAAAAGCCAATCAAATTTGTTAATTATTGTAGTAGATAAAGTGCAGGCCACGAAATTTCACGCAAACGATACTAATCGGTTATGTGCGGTCGCGCCAGCTCAAAAACATGCGACTGATTTCCTGGTTATGTAAATTGAAATATCGGTTACGTTAAAAAATTTATTCACATTTGATAAATTTTTATATAGGATGACTTTGTGACACAGGTCTAAATTACTAGTATTATTATAGCTTTAGTTTTAAATTAAGAGTCAGTACAAACTTCAATTCATTCATTCATTCATTCTTGGCATTTCATTTCTACATCTTACCGTACTCTGACAGATCAGGTACTTTGACTTCATGTGTATTTTGACATGTATTGACCCCCCCCCCCCATTCCAAATTCTTTAAATGATTAGTTATGCCATAAATATTTGAAAGCATACCTTTGGATTTTCAAATACAAAAAGAGTAAAAGAGTTTGACTATTTAACATGTCAGCTATATTTCCAAAGCATTTACTACACATGTTCCTTTCACTATAGGCATAGTCATGCTGTACAGTGGTACCAATGACCCGTATGTATGTCGTCAACTTTGACCCTCACCGGCATATGGCATCGCTGGAGTGATAATATGTAAAAGATTTTACTGTCCTGTCTATTTTGATATTATTTCATCACATCAAACTATTCTGTTTCCTTTTGAGACTTTGTTTATAGAGTGCAGCTAGGTTAATAAATATTACTTGTCAATATTACTATGAGTGAGGCTGTATCTACTTTCTGATCAATTACAACAGGTTAATTATTACTTGTTAATAAGAAGTCAATCAGCTAGCTTACTAAGTTACTTAAAATATAGGGATTTAGTGAAGTGGAACAAATTTTTCAAATGTTAATGTTGACACCGTGGGATTAAAGTCTTAAACACTTCTTAACCTCAAAATATCATATTTTAATAATAATAAAAGAATATAAATTAGTCAAGTTATTTCATTTAAAAAATGTATTCATTGCAAGTGGAGATGAATGGTAGCACCATATAAATCTGGATAAAACATGAAAATAGTGCAACCATTCTATGTAACCAATTGGATACGCAAGGGGCATCTGGCATAACCAAAGAAAATGGTTACGCAGAGCATAAACCCGCAACTATTTTTCTTGTTACGCCGAAATTTAAAATTTCATGGCCTGAAAGTGTTGTTACTCTTGATCAGTTTTTAGCATCTTGTTGATTAACATGTCCTACAATACTATTATGGTACATGTACATAGAACGGTATTTATGTTCCCATAACACATAATTCTGTTGCCAGAGAAAATAACCATTTGTCACAAATGGGCTAAACAATTTGCAAAATGAATGAGCTTACATTTTCCCGGAACTATTCCTAAGATCTTTAGATCTTGCAAAGTTTTTATACGCCCACATTTTCATGTGGACGTATATTGTCGTCGCCCCTGTCCGTCCGTCCACAATTTGTTGTGGACACTCTACAGGTCACAATTCTTATCCGATTTTGACGAAACTTGAAATATAGGTTTATCTCTAAAAGATCTTGGTTGCTTTCGATATTGGCATGTATCGGATCGAAACTTCATGGATTATGGCCCCTGATTGTATGAAAAATAACGTTTTTAGCTTGTGGACCCTATAGAGGTCACAATTTTAATCCTATTTTGATGAAACCTGAAATGTAAGTTTATAACCCAAAGATCTCGGTTCCTTTCGATATTCGCGCATATCGGACCGTAACTTCCAGAATTATGGTCCTTGATTGTACGAAAAATCATGTTTTTAGCTTGTGGACCCTATAGAGTTCATAATTTTTATCCGATTTAAAAAAACGTTTTAGTATATCACTGTTCGAATTTCATGAAAATCAGCCCAAAACTGAAAGATGAAATGGCCACCCCTCGTTCTCAAATAGCGTAAAAATATGGTATGTCAAGGTTGTGGACCCTCTAGACGTCACAATTCTTATCCGATTTTGTTGAAACTTGAAATATAAGTTTATAACCCAAAGATCTCGATTCCTCTCGATATTTGCGCATATCGGACCGTAACTTCCTGAATTATGGCCCCTGATTGTACGCAAAATCGCGTTTTTAGCTTGTGGACCCTATAGTAGTCATATTTTTTATGCGATTTAAAAAAACATTTGAATATATCACTGTTGCAACCTAAGGATGGTTGAGTTCGAATTTCGTAAAAATAGGACCAAAACTGACAGACAAAATGGTCGCCCCTCGTACTCAAATAGCGTAAAAATATGATATAAAATTATCAAGGTTGTGGACTTTCTAGAGGTCACAATTTTCTTCTGATTTTGATGAAACTTGAAATGTAAGTTTATAATATAACCCAAAGATCTCTGTTCCTCTCGATATTCGCGCATATCGGACCGTAACTTCCTTAATTATGGCCCCTGATTGTACGAAAAATCGCTTTTTGTTTAGCTTGTTCTCTATCCATCTCTTGCAAAATGTGGGCGTATCCTGCCTGGCAGCCGCTGGTTTTTTTTTTTTTAGTAGTAACGCTGTTGATATTGGATTTGGCGGCACAGAAATTTACCATTTGGTTCATTCTGTTCAAGATACATTAGCTAAATCTGCCTATTGCAAGTCTTTCTTTGGGTTTCAGATGTTATAGAAATTATTAATTAGACCTTTATTTACACGACAAGCTCAAAATCAACTCTGTAGACTCTCAGATGGCTTGGATACAACTTGGATTTAAACAGTTGTCCATTTAATAATTAATTCAATAAATGGATGACCAAGCTAACGTTTACCGTTAGTCACTGACGTCACTACCGGACCCTGCTGATGAAAGGCCTGCCAATTGAGGGTTCTGTAGCCATTGAGAATGTTACTTGATTATAGAGAATATGTGGGTTGAGTTATCGTCTGTTATTTCTATTCCAAACTTCCAACAGTGACAACTCCGTTCAGAATAAAGTAATTGGACTGAAATTTTCAATATTTTCTTTTTTTATCATCTAAGAATGCATATGGCCAACTCATTACACTCATAACTAGTGTATCTTTAAAGGTCACATAAGATGGACGACATTACTTTTCTGTACATATAGCCAATAGATGAATGGTTACTATATCCACTTTATGGCAAGTTTACACCAATCTGATTAAAATTAATTCGGCTATCTTTACCCAAAGTCGCAAAAAGAGATCTCCTGTAAAAACGACTTTGCCAATTATCGAAAACACTCTTAATCCCCTCAGACGCCAGTGATGTCACAGTGACCAAATGCATACTCGGAATGTTTATTCCTTAATTACATCGTTTAACTTCTTTATAATAAAGGTATTTTACAATTACATTGACAGTTTAATCACTCACCAAACGGCATCAGGAACTTCACGTATTGATATTCATGTCCATGAATCCCATGCAATTTTTCGTGCCAAAATTTAACCTCAGTTACTACGCCCGTAGTAATGCATGGAACCGTACATGGTAATAAGATCCCCGGCGTTGATTGGCTGAGAAATGAGGGCAATCTATTATGTCTTTGGAAAATTGAATATTCGCTGTGAATTCCAAATGGAGTTACGATAAAAGTTGTTCTTTGTGTATAGAAATGGTTATTATATTTTAATCAGATTGGTTGGAACTTGCCGTAAAATTTAAACTGGATATAGTAACCATTCGCTATAAGTATATGCAATTAAAATTTTTCACCTTATGTGGTCTTTAAAGATTTGACAAAAAAACTAGCCAAAAGTATAAATCTGTAATCTGCTTTTAACCTATATACAATATTTCATGAGCGAGGGTTTAATGTCTTACTTTTCTGCACCTACCAGGTGAGGCTAATGAAGACAGCCATACCCCATACAGTGTGCTATGAGGAAATTTTGCCCGGGCAGCAATTTAATTCAAACACATGCATGGGACCGGCATCACTGACAAGGGGGAACCACGGCGGAAAATCCTGAGAAACTTTCACTGCCAACTCAAGGATCAAACCCTGGGTCTCCATGTTACCGCGCCATCACCTTACATACTGGCTACCTTTGTGAGTGAATAAGACTTATTGATACTAAGAGACCTAGCATACCTGATGATGTTTTCAAACATGTCATATATAAAATGAATTTATTTTTAGGTGGTCCTGGATCAAAGAAAGGTAGACTTACTAATGATTTAGCCCAAACATTTGGGCTAAAGCTGATAAATGTTAGTGAAATAATCATTGAAGAATTGTCTAAAAAGATTGAAGATCCAGAAATCTTAAGTCTTCGAGCTAAAGTTCAAGCACAAATAAAGGTTTGTATAAATTTTCAGCATATTTGATGAAACTTGAAATGTATGTCTATAGTCCAAAGATCACCGTTCCACCATAATGAAGGTTGAGTTTGAATTTTGTAAAAATCTGACTGAAACTGCAGGACAGAATGGCCGCTCCCTGTATGCAAATAGTGTAAAAGTATGTAATTCCAAGGTTCTGGACCTCGAGAAGTAGAAGTCACAATTTTTATCCGATTTTGATAAAATTTGAAATGTATGTTTATAATCCAAAGATCTTGGTACCTTTCGATATCGGACTGTAACTTCCTGAATTATGGCTCCTGATTGTATGAAAAATCATGTTTTAGCTTGTTGACCCTCTAGGTCACGATTTTTATCCGATTTTAAAAAACATTTAAATGACGGATGAGTTCGAATTTTGAATTGAAACTGATTGACAAAATGGCCGCTCCTTGTATGCAAATATTGGAAAAGTATGTAATATCAAGGTTGTGGATCCTCTAGAAGTCACAATTTTTATCAGATTTTGATGAAATTTAAAATATATGTTTCACTATTTGCCCATATCAGACTGAACTTCCTGGATTATGGCCCCTGATTGTATGAAAAATCAAGTTTTTTTGTTTTTTATAGCTTGTTCTCTATCCATCTCGTGCAAAATGTGGGCGTATCTTGCCTGGCAACGACTGGTTATTTTCTAATTTGATGAATTTGTTTTGTAACCCCTTTTTTATATGCCCATATTTTCATGTTTTTAGCTTGTGGACACTCTAGAGATCACAGTTTTTTTTCCAATTTTGATGAAACTTAAGATATATGTTTATATCCCAAAGATCTCGCTCTGTTCCTTTCAATATTTGTGCATATCAGACTGTAATTGCATGGATAATAGCCTCTGATTGTACGAAAAATCATGTTTTAGGTCACAATTTTTATCCGATTTTAAAAACTGTTTATATATCATCGATAACATGTAATAACAAGGTTGTAGACCCTCTAGAGGTCACAGTTTTGATCTGGTTTTTATGAAACTTGAATTTATGTTTATATCACAATGATCTCGGTTCCTTTCGATAATCGCGCATATCGGAACATAACTTCCTGGATCATGGCCCCTGATTATACATCAATGAAGGTTTACAACCCAAAGTTCTAGGTTCTTTTCGATTTTCGCGAATATTAGACTGTTAACTTACTAGATTATGGCCCCTGGTTGTACAAAAAAATCATGTTTTTTAGCATGTGGATCTGCTAGAAGTCACAATTTTTATCCGATTTTAAAAAACGTTTAAATATATCACTCAAACATAATGAAGGCTGAGTTTGAACTTCGTAAAAATCAGACCAAAACTGCCGGACAAAATTTCCACTCCTTATACACAAATTGTGTAAAAGTATGTAATAGGAAGGTTGTTGACCCCCAAGGTCACAATTTTTGTCCGATTTTGATGAAATTTAAAATATATCCCAAAGATCTCAGTCCCTTTTTGGTATTCTCACATTTCAGACCATAACTTTCTGTATTATGACCCCTGATTGTATGGAAAATGGCTTGTACTTTTCCATCTCTTGCAAAATGTGGGTGTAAAAAACTATCTTGCCTGGCAACAGCTGGCTATCCAATTTTGATGAAACTTGAAATATAGGTTTATATCCCAAAGATCTCAGTTCCTCAGACCATAACTTTCTGAATTATGGCTCCACGATTGTACAGAAAATAGCTTGTACTCTATCCATTTCTTGCAAAATGTGGGCGTATCTTGCCTGGCAACCGCTGGTTATCCAATTTTGACAAAACTTGAAATATAGGTTATATCCCAAAGATATTGGCATGTATCGAACTATAAATCACATATTGAGCTTGTGGACACAATTTTTATCCTGTTTTGATGAAACTTGAAATGTATATTTATAATTATAACCCAAAGATCTTGATTTTTTTTGGTTTTCGGTGATTATGGCCCCTAGTCCGGTGGCTGAAGGGGGGGAATCGCCACCCGAGCTGTGAATTTATGAGACCAAGTTTTTCTAGATCAGTTTTTTGCGTAGATCCCTAATCTGGGTGGTGATCAGGCGTTTGAGGGGGCGTTTTCGAGATATAGGGGGTCAAATGTCTACAATGGGGGGGGGGGGGGAGATGTCATTATGTTGACGTAATATATTAGTAAAACATAAATTTCTAAGACTGCCCATCTATAAATAAGTGTTTATGGTGCCCCTGGACAACTGTTTTGATTTGTGGGGAGGTGGGGTGGGGATAGAAGGTGTGTGTGTGTGTTGGGGCGGGTCATTATGTCATAATATATTAATAAAACATAAATTTCTAGGACTGCCCATCTTTAAATAAGTGTTTATGATGCCCCTGGACAACTGTTTTGAATAGTGGGGAGGTGGGGTGGGGGTAGCAGGTGTGCGTGTATGGATGGGGGGGGGGTACAATTGGTGGGAAGTGAGTTCACGTTGATGATTTTCTTAGAGCTTGGTAAAAACATTACTTTTTAATTCCACTGCACATCTCTAAATATGTGTATACGATTACCATTGTATGGGGGAGGGTAAATGTATTTTGGGGGACAGAAACCACTTGGTTCAAAATTGACCTGAAAAGTGTTTTCTCGAGTTTTCGTTCAGTGCCAATATGGTCATTCAAAATATTAAATTATAATGGTACTTTTCGAGAGATCTGGAAATGTACATGAAAAACACATGTTTAGATATTAGTTTATTCTTATAATATGTGCGGGATAGATATCTTCTTGATGGCTGGTCAACAGCCTGCGTATATCCTTTGGATATGCTTCAGATACCCATTCACATTGTAAATCATCATTCCAGCCTTGTATCGCAGAGTCATCTTGTTCGATCATTAATTTTGCAACCTGTCTCCATATTGCTGCAACATAATTATTGCGTTTAATGTGCAGCAAAAGACTACTCGGGCAAGATGGTAATAAAAAAAGAAAGTTTTGTTATATTTCATCACAATTAAAATTTCTCCAGAAGATACTTCTTCCAGTGTCATCTACTGATGTAAGTCGGTTTTCGCCGTACAAGGTACATGTACACACAATTTTTTCTAAACCAGCAATTACGTCATCAAAAGCATCATTTGTCTATCCCAGCTCTTTAAAAAATGTTAGAAAGTTGGGATTATCTTGAAAAAGAAAAACAGATAGTCATTACCACTGAAAGCATGTAGGCCGAGATATTCTCGACACTTTCAATACTAATCTTGATTGGATCAAAAAATATCAAGATTAGTATTGAAAGTGTCGAGAATATCCTAGAACTGACAACCACCCACGAGGACACCAAAATATCTTACCTATTCCTCTTCGCATTGCAAATTAATGGAGGCGCTGAAACAAATTGTATTTTGCGTTCTTGCTCGGGCGAAATAGACATCCCAATCATTCTCTTCGCAAATGATGATTCAAATGTACAAATTTTGATCGATAATGAGACGGGCAAAGGTAGAAAATATCGCGAAAGACGACTTACATCACTAGATGACGCTAGAAAAAAGATTTTCTGGGTGAAAAATAACAGATCTTTCTTCATTATCACCTTGCCATATACGTGGTCTTTTGCTGCATGACTGGAATGAAGATTTACAATGTGAATTGGTTTCTGAAGCATATCCAAAGGATATGCGAGCTGTTGGCCAGCAACCAAGAAATTATTTATCTCGCTCATATGAACTTTTGATTTTGAATCTTCTGATGAAGACAAAGAATAAACTAACAACTAAACATATCTCTGAGTTAATGTGTTTTTGATTTACATTTCTAGATCTCTTGAAAAGTACCATTATAATTTGATATTTTGAATGAAAACGCTAACGAGATACCACTTTGGTCTCAATTATGAACGAAATGATTTCTGTTCACAAAAATACATGTTGCCACCCGCCACCACCCGCACCGCCCCCCCACCCACACGGCGGGCACCCACCCTGACGTCCACCCCCATACAATAGGAATCTTATAAAACATATTTAGGGATGTTTTATCAAGCTCTTAGAAAATCATCATTTAAATCAACGTGAACTCATTTCCCCGCCAATTTTATACCCACCCCACCTTTCCACATGTGCACACCTGCTACCCCCACCCCACCTCCCCATAAATCAAAACAGTTGTCCAGGGACATCATAAACACTTATTTATAGATGGGCAGTTCTAGAAATTTATGTTTTTTTATATATATTATGTCAACATAATGACATTCCCCCCCCACCCCCCATTGTAGACATTTGACCCCCTATATCTCGAAAACGCCCCCTTAAACACCTGATCACCACCCAGATTTGGAATCTACGCAAAAAACTGGTCTAGAAAAACTTGGTCTCATAAATTCACAGCTCGGGTGGCGATTCCCCCCCTTCAGCCACCGGACTACCCAGATTGTACGAAGAATCATGTTTTTATCCAGTTAAACTGCAGTGAATATTTAATTCATTGCTTTTGACCATCATACGTCACATTTGTCTCTCATGCAATATCAACACATATTTATTTATATATTTATTTACTCTTACTTGTAGGAAGATCCTCTGGCAGTGAAATTAATCTGGGTGACAAGAGAAATTTCAAAACATATCGATGAAAATCCAAAAGGTGGCTATATAATAGATCTTATGCCTAATCTCAAATCTCTAGTAAATAGTGCTGGATTTGTTAAAGAATGTTCGAATGAAATGAAACTGTTTGAACAAAAGGTGAGTAGGACTACTGTAGGAGCATGCTTGTAGTCTATAAGTTTCAGTTCACATGCAGACTTAAACTTACATTCAGTTGTGAGGGTATAAATACCGTATTTTTCAGTGTATTAGACACACTTTTTTATCAAATATTATTATTTATAGAACTGGTAGTGGTAAGGTTGCAACGATACAGAAAGAAAATAGCGTGATATATCTCACGATATTGGTAAAATAAATTATCACGATATCATGGATTATCGTCTTGAGTAAATTATCGCGATAATTAGAATTATTGTGCTTCAAAAATTCATTATCGTGATAATTACTGATATAAAATTGACATAACTTGAGGTGTATAAATGGATTAATGTATCTAGTGTATCCATTTGGTATTTAGCAATGTATGTGAGATGCACTGATGAAGTGAGACGTATATACATGTATATATGCTGGGGTAAGATTATTCCTGTAGATATCGTCACCTCAGATCATTCTATTCTGATCAGCTGGAATGCTCGGAATACCCAATAAACATTCATTAACTCAATATCTTGTCGGATGTCCTTTTTAAACTAAAATATCCCCATATGAGTGACAGAAGAAATGCTCTTTTTCGTGTCAGCAGCAGTGTGTTTTCACAGTCTGCCGAACTGTCATCAGAAATATTCTGATTGACATTAACAGATTTAAGCTTGGAAGCCAATTTCTTCAAAGAATAAAAGAAATATTTTCCAGACGATTTTTCAATTTAAAATATCAATGTAATTTTCAACGGACTTGGTAATCAACAATAAACCACCTCTTCGTTACTATGGCGACGTATATTGTCAAATGTAGTTTAACTATATCATTCCGAGGTGGGGTATCCTTACCGTTATAATATCAGTCATAATTATAAATATTGTGGATGCTTTCTTTGAGGGTGTAAGGGACCAGACTATATCAAAGCGTAGCCAACATGTGTATGATAACAATTAATATTATTCAGTGAAACGTACTTGATGTATGAGACTAATATGGGTCAGTTGGTCCTTTGCGTTAAAAACGGCTGTCTCAAAGTCTGTTGTGGAATTTGGAAAATGGAATAGATCTAGTATCGACACCTGTTACAATTTGATTTTTTCATTTCTTCTTCATTTTTGGAGTATTTTGAACGGATTTGTGATCAATTGTGATCAAAAATGAAAATATCGCGATATTTTTTAGAATTATTGCAATATATCGTGATAAAGCAATATTTGAGATTGATTTCAAACGATAATTTTATCGCCTGAACTAATTATAGCGATATATCGCTATCCCTGGGGTATCACGGGAACCCTAAGAAGGGGTGTGCCTAATACATAGTATTAAGCAAATCTTTTCCCTGTGTCAACATCGAAATTAATGTCGACAATTTTCATTCGATAAAGATTGAGGTCATTTCAGCTACAGCTATATTATTATGCATACCGATAGCCATAAACAACAATGCTAACACCATGGGCAGATAGCGGTTCAGTGTTAATTGCGTTTAAAATATCTGCAATATTTCTGTATTCCACTGTAATTGATGACGTATATTTCTATTGGCCATTACCGGCAATCCAAACAGTGTCTCGTTCAATGGTCTTGTCAGTCAAAGGTGGGGCTTACAACAAAAAAGCATTTTCATTGACTTGTAGAAAGGTAACGTCCACTGACCACACGCTTAGTATAGCGTAGGCCATTTGCAATCTCCCAAACAGAGTTGTCTTCCCTTGCAGTCCACACTCGCAGGATAGCAAGACGTGTATGGAGAATGGGTCATTGTTATTGTCTTTTACAGTGGTAATGGGCGGGATTACAGTTAAACGTCTGTCATTAACATTCTCAACCAATTCTTTCTGAATTTGTAGATCACATGTGGCACTCCATCTATATATATAATTCGCTCCTTTACTTGGTTTCATGTCACTAAGTTTCCCCTTCATAGCCCTCCAATGTCTTATGTTCACCTCACCCATACTAAATTCACGACTCGTGGCCCTATTACTGTGCGCTTCAGTGTAACTAATCACCCTCAACTTTTCCTAAGCAGCATAATCTTATAGCTTTTCTGAATAAATAATTTTTAAGAATTGGGGTGTTTTCGTTGAGCAAAACTGTGTTATGATTTTATCATATAACTGTTTTAAGTTACCGAAAGTTAATTACCTACCAGTGAGTTAGTCACCGTATACTTTATAAAGTTGTTCGTAGTTAACAAAATCATTGTTTCTTTGATTGGTATTAAAAATGCCTCTGTATTATGTTACTGATAGATCTAAATGGCTACAATCTAGGTATTGTCATGACGTGTAGTGGGCAGGGCAATGGACGCTATTGTTTGATTGTCATTTGTTTGCATAGCTTGAAGTCTGTCTGTCCGTCACACTTTTTGGGACACATTATCTCTCTTTCTAGAATGTTCAAACTTGGTATAGGTGTTTATTAGGTCAATGCCTTGATGGAGGTCCAAGATGAGCATTTTGTGCTTAGGGTAAGCAGAGATAAGCAATTTGATTGGTTGATGCTTTGGGACACGATAACTTTAGTTCTAATTAAGTGAGAGTGATGAAACTTGGTGTATAGTTTAATTACATCAATACCTGATCAGGGTAAGCAGAGCGATAAGCAGTTTGATTGGTCGAGACTTTGGAACACAATAACTCTCCTAATTGAGGTAGAATTTTCAAGCTTGGTGTAGGCGTTCATTAGGTGAATGCCTGGATGGAGTTCGATGATGAACATGTCTGCTTACGGTAAGCAGAGATAAGTAATCTGAATGGTTGATGCTTTGGGGCACGGTAACTTTGGTTTACATGAAGTGAGAGTGATGGAACTCTGAATATAGATTCATTATATCATTACCTTGATTAAGTACGATGGTGAGAATTTTCTGCTTAGGCTATGGAGCGATAAGCAATTTGATTGGTCGAGACTTTGTCACATAATAACTCTGCTTTTAATTGAGGTAGAGTGTTTAAACTTGATGTTCATTAGGTGAATATCTTGACTGAGTTCAATGATTAACATTTCGAGCTGAAGCTAAGCAGAGCTAACCAAGTTCATTGGTCGATGCTTTGGGACAAGATAATCTTGATTCTATCTAATAGAGAGTGATGAAACTTAATGTATAGTTTGATTGCTTGATACTTTTGAAAAAAATAAATGTGCGATTAATTAATATGTGTTATCTATTTATTTTGGGATTTCGGCTGTTGACATCAGTCTCACTGTTGGCTTGTTTTTTATAATTTTCTGGGGCGGGGGGGTTTGGGGGGGGGGGGGTCACTTTACAAGAACTGGTCCAGTTGACATGGAATGACTCTGCTGTGTTTGTTCAATTTCTTTTAACTTTTAAGACATATTTCAATAATTTCAGTATCCAATATCTTTTGGTATTAATTTTGCTGTACCACTGGATAAGGTGGTAAAGAAGAAAGAACCAGAATGTGCTAAACCAGTGAAACCAGCTAAAGACAGTAAAAAGGAAAAAGATGGTGCAAATGTAAAGAGTGATGAAGCAGATTCATTCCGGACAAAGGTAAGTACACAGCGGTCACAGCTGTATTGATTAGTTGATTTAACGAAAATCACTGGGGGAGCTTACACCTAGATTTAAATGTGATCATATAGGCTTCAAAAAAAGTAGGGGATATTGAAATGCAAATACCTATGCAGGTTGTCATATGATAAATAGTCATGGACACTTGACATGCTTTGAGAGTATGTTCACAGCTGAAGAACTTATCGCCCCAACAGAACCACTGAGCTGCACATGCGACACGCAATATCGTCATACATGTGGGAGGGGTTCATTGTCAAATTTGACACTTCAAGGAAGGGTTGATGAAAACTGTCGCTTGCTGGTTTATCCTATCCTTGTTTGCTTTCCTATCAGTTCTTGCATAAGATTTACTGTTTAGCCTATCTTTGCTTTAGTGTGTTACATATAATTTGATCGTGAGGAGTGGGTCAGATTGCCCCAAATCGTGATTGGACGGTTGATTAGGAGTATGGTACGACAAATTGCTGAATGTCTGAGGATTGGTGGAGCAATTACTCATTATTAAGACAAAAAACAAAAACGTCCATTTTCATTCACTTTTGACAGTTTATCTCTTTCGAGTGAAATGGGGCCGTCAGATAAGCCGCCCATATAAACTGTTTATGTTCATGTTTAGGCAATTGGCCTGTTATTAACATACACTGGTTACCTCTAATAAAAACAGCAGTGCATTTCCGCAGTTTTGTATTGTTTCTGAATATCCCCTACTTTTTTTTGAAGAGGATATATTGTCTGCTATTGATCTATTTTTATTTTTTATTCATGAAACAATATTTTATTCAGGATATCTGAATGGGATTAGGGAACAGGCTTAGCCTATGTAAAACCCCCCTCCCTAGATAATATACATACAATATTAAAACAAAGGAAGTTAAAATGGCAAACACATACATAAATATATGTAAATACATATGATGAGACAGATGGCAATGTACAATATATATTATATGGCTCTTGATCACATAGAAAGATCTTGTGGAGGTTAAAGAAATTATCCAATTGACTTTGAATTCTTACACAATGTTTGTACTGATAAGATAAAGATGCCTATTAATTTTCAATGATTTCCGATAATTATTGTTTGAGCTATTGTGCTTTATCTTTCCTTCTTTTTAACCATATAGCCACAAGTTACAATGGATAATCGCTCTTTTCTCTGTGTATACTTTCGTGTTTCATTTCCTGGATTGTGAACAGCAATACTTCAAATAAAGCATAAAAAATTCAGATCGTGAAGTATTTGTTATTTTAGAATATAGAACTATATATCAATTGGGGGGTTGGATGGCTGAATGGTTAGCGTGCGCACGCTGTATCATAAAGTCTGTCATTGAGTCGACTGGCGTGGTTTCGAATCCCCGGTTGTACGTGGCAAGGAGTAGGGTCGCCTGTCCAACCTCGTGGGTTTTCTCCGGGTCCTCCGGTTTCCTCCCACTGCTAAAGACCCCTACGCGCGAGCGAATTATGTAAATAAAATTAAACCATATGTTAGTCCCGAAATGACCTAGTCTGTGTCGCGTGGACGTTAAACCCCATTTCTCTCTCTCTCTCATATATCAATTATATTAAGTTATTTATCAAATTGTTGAAATGTTTTACTCTTAAAACTTAAAGATACATTATGTACGATTTCCATAAAGAGCTAGCCATTCTTGCTACATAATAGTTTGAAAATAGATAATGTAAAATGAATAATTTGAAAATTTCATTCAAATTACTCTATTGCGAGTGAAGATATTAGCCTTTGAAGGTTTGACAAGACCTGTGCATTAATTGGCTGAACCGTTCAAATCTACTTAATATCGGAATTATGCGATGGCATCAAGAGTTGATTATGGTGTTGTCATGTTAATAAATACCTAATTATAATTTTATATAACATTTCAAGCCTAAAAAAAAACTTGCAGTAGGCAGATTTAGCTCTTGAATAATGTATGCTTAAAAGTAGAGCTGGCACCTTTCAACAATTTGATGAAACCTCTTGTATCCAACTCTGAGAGAAATACTGATGTTTTTTGCTAACACTCATTTCATACCTAATTTATAGGATAACTGTGGTGGTGGGTGTATATGTGGGGCTACAAGTATCTGTTAATGTTTTCTTTTTTATTTCACAGAGGAGAGCTGCTTTATTTGACAAGAATGTGAGACCATTTCTAGATTACTTTCAGAGGTCTGAACGTCTACTCACAGTTGATACCTCATCAGGTGTGGTTGATTTGATATGGGGAAAAGTTTGTGAAGTTTTTTCTGATCTTCAATTACAAAATTTGCAAAATATCGAAACTGTGATAATATTCTGCTACAGTAAGTCTTTCTATTAACAACATAAATGTCATATTTTAAATGGGCCTACAAAAAATGATTCAGGCAATTCCGTGAGAAATGGACAAAACAAAGAAATTTTTTAGTTGATTTTGGTTTTTAAATTTGCTATTTTCAGTAGAGGATGTATTCAATGCTGACAAATTTAAAAATCCACATTGAAATGTGACTGTGTTATTATCACCCTGGTCTGTCAAACAGTCCTTTGCAATATCTTGTGAACCATCTACAAGGCTATGTTACAGTCATTGTTTTCCACATTTGGCTGGTGAGCTGCTAAAGCTTTCCTTAATTTGCACATGTAAAAAATTTGCTCTGCTACTATAAAAGCTCTCCCAGTTTTGACAGGGTGAGGGTGGCGAACTGGTGGGACACTGAGATCTGAATGTCCCCTTTTCCATGAGAGCTCTGTCATCTAAAAAAGACAGTGCCTCAGGGCCGAATGTGGTTAAGTTCTCCATGCTAAAAAAAACCTGCCAGAAACTGCTTCCAAAGTAGTACTTGACCTTTTTAAACTGGCTTGGCTGAAAAGGTGGGAAAAGATCCTAAATAGGCAGAGTCTTACCGTCCGAAAAGTCTCACTTCTATGGTATGTAAAACTTTCAAAACCCTGGTGAACGATACTACCTAGAGAGTAACCAGCTGCTAGACGAGAACCAGTGCGGTTTCCGCCGAGGTTGCTCTACTTAAGATCATATTGCCAGACTTCATCATGTCTTTGTTGATAAGTCAAAAGCTTTCAACCTTGTCTGGACAGAAGGACTTGTTTTTGGTGGGTGTACATGGTAACATGTATAACTGGATCAAGAGTTTTGTTTTAGACAGACAAATAAGGGTTACAATTGGTAAATACCTCAGTAAAGAGACCGGATTGGTTAACGGAACTCCCCAGGGTTCAGTTATAAATCCCGCTCTGTTCAGTATCATGGTGAACGACAGAAAAGAATATCTTGGCAAAGATATTTCTCTTGCTACGTTTGCGGATGATAGTACCCTATGGTCAAAGGGTAACCGTTATTTGCAGGTTCAGAAACGTACGCAAGGAGCCTTGAACAGATTCACCATGTGGGCCAATGATTGTGACTTCCTGATTTCGGCTCCCAAAACTAGGCATGTTAGTGGGCAAAGACACTGAGGTTACCCAGATGTCTCTGCAGCTCAGTGGTCAGAAAATAGAATTCAAAGACGAAACCAAGTTCCTTGATAGGAAAGTGATACATGAAGACCACATATTTAGTACGTAGTAACACGCACTCAACACATTCTGAACCTAATGAGGAAGACTATGGGGCATGAATGGGAAGCGAACAGGGTTATCCCCATGATGTACTAGATTATGGTTGCATGGCTCTCGTAAATTAGACACCATGCAATACAAAGCAATTTGTATTGCTACAAGATTTATCAGAGTCGAAATGGTCAGAGACCTCGATCTCAATAAGCTCATCATTAGTAGTATAGAAGATATGATAAGGGCCTCATAGATTGCCAAACATGTGCTCTGTGTACACATCGAAAATGTACGAGATCAAAGAATCTGTAGTTTGGATATCCAGCCACTCTACTGTCTTCTAATACCTGGAGCTTTCTCCTTTGGATGAATTTCCCCCTGGACACTTCCCTGCAAAAGAAATTGTGTCTTTACCTAAAGCTGGATCAAGCCTATTTTTGTGACTTCTTTTGGCAAGTTTCTTAGGAAACACTTGTCTATGATATCACCCTAGGCTAGGCTTGTGTGGATGCAAAGGCCCAGGAACAAAAGAACGTGACGTGGTGAGGGATTTTGTGAATAAAGAGAGTTATCCATCTTTTGACTACTATCTTAATTATTTGGCTTTTTACTACATTTCATGGAAACCGTTATTTATATAATATGTTTTGAGATTTCAAGTAGCACATAGCTTGGATTGTTTCCCTTATTGTTACTGTTTGTTTGTTTTCAATTTGGGGGAAGCCCCACCCCCCGGATTCATTCAATTACATTTGTTGTTTATTGTTTAAAGTGTTTGTATATATTCTATGTATAATGTGTGTCTTGTCCATGGGTTTGTCTACTGTAATTGTTTATGTGTGATGCAGTCCTCTACCCTTAATGATTAAGAGGCAAGTAATTCCTTTAATTCATAAGCATGGTCTTCATTAGGCCTATGTAGTATATGCACAATTACCATATTGCGTATAATTTTTGAGATCCAGAAAAAATATTTTCTTAGAAACTACAGAATACAGTAAAATATTTATCCTTCTTATCATCACTGATTATATATATTAAAATGCAGAACAAAGTTTAGCTTCAAGATCAATATTATCTGTCCTTATTGACTGTAATTAATTCTGCATGGCCATGAAGAGTGGTTGATTAATTTGAAATAAAATGTTCTATGGGAGAAGTTTTGCACGGACAGCGGTGCTGCGGCCTACTCTTATATTGAATTCTAACTGCCAAGGGATCTTTCACGTGCACGCCATCCAAACCAGTCCCTCTGTCCAGTACCACTGTTAAGGGGGTACCCACACCTTAAAGTTTCTCGGCCAAAGCAGGGAATCTTTAACCACTCACAAGGTTGTACAGGTGACCCTACTCCTTGTCAGGTACAAGCTGGGAGTCAAAACCTCACCACTTGACTTTATGACAGACCGTATGATCTAAGGTGCATGTGATAGACCTAGCTACTAACCCTGTTGATCATGCCATGATGTCATTGTCATGGGGGAGAGGGGAGATTTGCCTTCTATTAATTGACTCAATTCTTCCCTTCAAAGTTTTGTTGAAGAGCAGCAAGCCACAGTCTTCTTTGTTCAGTTGTCCTGTTGAGTTTCCCTGGTGTATAATTACTATAAAAGTATAATGGTTCAAATTCAACAATTTCTATTCATTAGTTCTGGTATCTACGTATAGAGTTATTGCCCTTGATTGTCATATAATAATTTTATTAAGTACGGAAAATTATGATTATGCTTTTTATTTACTTATAAAGACCTGACAAACCTTTTGAACTGCTCGGACGAGTGATGCTTGCACAGTATGAACATTTTGCTATTTTTATGTTTACCTAAAGGACCACAATGCATCAACTTTTATGGACTGCTCAGCGGATCTTAGCTTATGTTTTGTTCCCTAGTAACATGTCTTAGAAGTAGAAGTTGTGGAATTTGTTGGCAATACTTTTAGACAACTTTGCTGTTGGTGAGCATATTAGGGGGCTTGCTAAGTGCCTGTCTATGTTTGTACATTTGTCGAGTTAGTTAATAATTAATTTAAATATTTACATGAATTTAGTCTCTGTATTTTGATGGTTTTACAGAAGAACAAGATTTAAATATGATTAATATTGGCAGCTATAGCATGGAAAAAATAGTATTGAAAGATCATCTACAGGATTCGCAAGACCCAGTTGTAAGTTGATACTATATATCTTTTCTTGGTACTGAAATAAATAAATGCACCAAAACCTGTGAAATTTACCTTCAACAAAAGTTGGATTTTCTTTGATTAACTTTTTTTAATTTTTATAGGAAAAGGTGTTAAAAACATTATGTAAAGTTATTGACAATAGTAATCCTACAATGAAGGCCTATGTTGTTGATGTTGCTGATACTTGTTTAGTAGATAAAATTAGTATTGATGTAAGTCATGTTTCCTTTATTTATGAAAGGATTTTTATAGTAATTTAATGTATGAAAATAACAGAGAACACCCTAAGCACTCACATTATGTCTGGTTGCATATCATTGTATAGTTTATAGTGGATCATCCAAACCAAGATTACTGTATGTCATACATTTTGTAGCTCTCCATGGGCTCTTTCAGAAATCCTACATTTGGCATTGGTTCTGTCAAAGTATCGCGGCAAGCAACGGAATACATCTCTGACAAAAATTAAAACACCCATGACTTCACTGAGAATAAAGTAATTTGAATAAACTATTTTTGAACTATTATAAAAAGAATGACCAGCTCTTTATCTATAAATTATATAATGCATCTTTAACAAATATTTTTATGAAACTGAAAAAGTTTTTTTTGTATAATTTTGGTTAGTAGGTTTTAGTTTAGACATTATGATTAACAAAAGTTTGATCATGCTTTTTTTCTTCAACAGTTTGCAAAGAAAACAATTGTGTTTGTTGATAATGAGAGTGCTAAATTGGAGAAATATGTAAATGCTACACAAAAGACTTCACCGTGTGCTCTGTCATTTAAAGCGGTGTCATCTACAGAGAATGAAGTGTGTTTATTTCCAACTGATGTCAAAACAGATTTAGCAAAGAAAATTGCTTTGTTTATGGCAGAGTGTAGAGAACTGTAAATAAAATGATTATGGAATATTATAGCCATATTTAATGCATAATTCAACTCTTCATTACTGGTAAAAAAAAAAAAAGCTAGGATGTTTGTGTTGCTTTTTTTGCAAAACAAGGTGTAACTTTCAGATTTTGTGTAGAAGTGAACAGCTTTCTTTAAAAATGAATGCTAATTTTACAATATTTAATTATTTTTGTTGTTGAAATTCTTCAAAATTATCTACATTATGATAGGTATGTTGTACAAATTTTGTTGTTCTATACTTCCACAATGTGATCGTACATTGCCATCACCATTGTCCATTTGTAATTTCTTGGAAAAACTCAGCAAACTACATTTATCATCCAATCTTTTCAAACTGTATACAGTATGTTGTTTCCATCCGTGACATGTAGTATACCAGTAGTGAAATTTTAGAGACCACTGATCAGGCCTTAGTTATCGCCCTTGATCACTTTGTAGAATTTTGAAATTTATCTATTGATTGTCACTAATACTGGACAGATTTGTAGAAGGAATTTCATCTTGGTGGGATTGTTCATTTTGGTTTAAAGAGCAACACTATCATTATCAACTATCTTACATTTTTTGAAGAAGGTTGCAATGATTAAAGAATTTTAATGTGTAGTTGTATCAGTGTACTCTTTTACAGGTGGTTGATTGAGGCTTTTTGTCATCTTATTAAAAATACCAGTACAGGGCTGAATATTTAATTGGTTTTTGACAAATTTTTAGGAATACAATTGGTGTAAATAGTTTTCATAAAAACTTTTCCAGAGTTCCTGTGCTTGAATTAGAGGATTTCTGATAAATGTATATTACTAGTCTACACTCATTATACATGATTGATTTCTTGTCCAGTTTTCATAAAATATTCAGGAATACCTAATCAGTAACTCAGAGTTACTGATCAATTTTCATGAAAGTTTGACCACAATCATTATAAAGTACAGACTCCTAACAGCACTTTGTGGACTATAATATTTGCTGTATATTTCATGCAATTTTTCTTAATGTATAATGATGTATGATAGACTGTGTAAATACTGTTTCTAAATGTTAATTTATTTTATAACATAAAAATACCAAAGAGATTAAAGGAGGGATGTTCTTGTTGTAATCATTACTTGTTGTTATTATTATATACTTGTTGTTTACTTTGCTCAAGTTTACTTGTTAATAATTTTATATTGTTAAATAGATTATTGTTTGTATTTTCATATTTTAATTGAAGGCAATAAGTAATAATTTCAGTATTATAGTAATAAATATTAAGCAGCAATGTTTTGTTTTGTTTCATAAAGTGTAATAATCACCCAAGAAAAAAACCCACCCATATACATCAATGCAGTTGATGCTGAATAATAAGACCCCGTTTCATTTCGCTGCTTAAGACCCCAAAAGGATGCTTCTACTGATAGCACTGTAAACAATATTATTAGTAATTGGGACTCGCCATGATACGAAAGATAAAAAATTTTCAACTCTGTGTTGGTTGCGAGAAATCAGCTTTGTACCACAATATTATTCAACATACCCATAGAAACACTATAATCTCATGTTGTGGGGTGTGAAAACCCTGCACTTTGGGTTATAGGTGTAATATCTAATTCCCTCTAAAATAGATGTACCAGTCCATTTACTTTTAATATAATGTTGTAGCCCAATTCCAACATACATGTCTACAGGCACCAACTTTTGGGGCCTAATGCAGCACACAATTTGTTTGGCATTGGGTATTTTAGAGTGTAACTGGTCATAGTTAACTTTCACATGGTACCTCCACTGTTTGATCTAGCCCCAAATTTTGGGACCTCTCCTGGGTATCTAGCGGGGCCTTACGCAGGGGAATATTTGTCAGGCTGTGCCTATTCTATATCAGATGTCCCTTTTATTTCATCTGGTACCGATATCCAACAAATTTTGAGCTCTAAGGACTACACACCTATCAGTCCATAATTCACAAAATGAAAATCAGTTTGGATCAAAGGCTACCTCATTGATTTGCTAATGGGAATAGTCTGGAGGCTCAGTGCGGGGGGTGTCCATCAAATGGGCACAAAACCAGACCCAACTTTTCTAGAGTAAAATTTTGCGTAGAATACGATGCCGAGTGGTAATCAGTCTGCCGTTGGGGCGTTTTCGAGATATTCAGGGTCAAAGGTCAAATGGGTTCATTTGCACTGAAAGTGAATGCGCGGTCATTCTTGTATCATGAAAATAAGCTGAAAATGATCGAAAGTAATCACACTTTCAAAAAAAATTTAAACTTGCTAAATTCACCTTTGTTTTTTGTGACCCCAGAGGTCAAAAGGTCACATTTTCCATTTTAGCACTAGGAAGATTGAAAGTAATAAATGTCGGCGTAAAATATAAAAACTAAAGCGAAACCTGTTCTAATTAATAACAGGAACATTTAAAATTTATCTTTAGGTGGTTTTAGCACCAAACTTTTACTTTGAAACGTCGAAATGATCTTGCATAACAGAACCAAAACGCTTCGGAGCCTGTTTCAAAAATATGTAAAACTGTTAAATCAAAATCTCTCTGAATTAGTTTTACAACGAATGCTATACATAATGATACTAGTTGTCTGAAAAAAACAATTAAATAGTTCTTTGGCTGGACTCCAGTCTGCAGGCCGCGTGACAAAGCCTGCCAAAATTTTCCCCGCTAAAATTTACCAATACGACATATATATCCTGTGAACTAGAATGTACAATGCATTCGTCGGTTTTATCTGCGTCCATGTTCCGGCGAGATGCGTGTTTTCCCATCACAGATTAACGTCGGTTTTCCTAGACTGGGATTCTCGGAAATCCACGCGGCCTGCAGGCTGGAGTCCAACACTGAAACTATTTTACGTTGACATTTTATTGCTTTAAATCTTCCTAGTGCAAAAACGGTAAATTTCACCTTTAGACCTCCAGGGTCACTACGACTAAAGGTGAATTTAGCAAGTTTACATATTTATTGAAAGTGTGATTACTTTCGATCATTTTCAGCTTCTTTTCATAATACAAGAATGACTGCGCATTCACTTTCAGTGCAAATGAACTCATTTGACCTTTGGCCCCGAATATCTTGAAAACACCCCAACGGCGGACTGATTACCACTCAGCATCGTATTCTACGCAAAATTTTACTCTAGAAAAGTTGGGTCTGGTTTTGTGCCCATTTGATGGAACCCCCCCCCCCCCCCCACGCTGAGCCTCCGGTCTAGAAGCCGGACCTGATTTTCAACAAGTCTATCGTTAAAGGCTTGGTTCTTGTATTAGGATGTTAAGCAAATTAACTCGAATATGTATAATAATATATTTACTAGTTGTAATATAATACATTTTACACAGAAATGTGCTTATTGATCTAAAAGACAAAATGTATTTAATAGCAATTTGCAAAATAAATGACAAATTAAGGGTCCTTGGGCTTATTTCGTACTTTTGAGTATGACGATTGACTCTACTTGTCTTTTATTCTTGCATGATGTGCTTTTCATTATTCAACAAGTATGGCCATACTATGTACCAGGAACCAAAACATAATGCAGTGATTAACAATTAAAACTATGCAGGTCATTGAACAGATCCAACGTATAAGATGGTCATCTTGACATTGATAATGGTAGAGAAAGTTAAGCTTTAGGTATTTTTTTATTTGTGATGCCATCGCCACCATTTGGAATTGTGACGCCTGATCAAAAATCTGATGCACAGTTGTACCAAGAACAATCCTGCCAAGTAACATTACGATCAGATTCGAATTGACAATGTCATCGGTGCCATCTTAAACATGTGACGACATATAGGAAATCTAACTTAATGCATATTAGTTCAAGGAACATTCATACTAAGTTTTCTGTCTTTCCAACATGAATTGAGGTCTTTTTCAATTAAAACTCATGATGTCATCCCAGTCATATGGGAATTGTGACATACGAAAAAAAAAAAAAAAAAAAATTAAAGCATAATTGTCAAAAGAAGTAGTTTCATGTTGATCGCAAGCGAATTGCCAGAGCCTCAGGCTTTTTTTGAACAGTGTTACCTTAAAAACAAAAAGATTACCAAGTGTATGGAACCTGTTACCGTGTTACGGGTTCAAAAATCAATATGACTATCTACAGTAGTTAGAATTATATTTTTGTACAAGATATTGACTTAATCGGTACAATGACATACAATACTTTAATAAAAATTTGCTCTGCCATGTTAATGTTAAATAATTTTCAGTATAATATACAATACACACATATAAACTATTATTTACCTCATTAAACAATATAAAATCTTAACAGAATATTAAACATACTTGTATAAAAAGGACATATATATATATATATATATAAATATATATAAAGACAAGACATTATGTACACAAACAATTCACATTTTCGGCTGCATTTGATGGAAAATTCTAATAATTGTGTTCTACATAATCATATGAAATATTCTAACTGGGTAGTACTTTTTCTTAGAGACTGACCTAATCCAACAAACCAAGTAGTAGTAAAACTAACACATCTACTTTGCAGTTATTGATATTTAATAAAATCTCTGTATTAATAAATCCAAATAGCCATGGGTTAAAACTGCTCACAAAGTTCTGTATGGATAGGGGTGGTAGCATTACTTTGGGCATGGTTTTGTCTCTAATTAGGTCAAGTCCAGGTTGGCATAAACTGATAATGTGAGATTCGGTTTTATAATTAGCTATTGCATCAAACTGGATCCTCCCATTCCCAGTTCATTAATACATTTTAAGAATATTTAATTGAACAAATTTTGTACATTTTTCTTTAATAAATACAACTTGTCAATGTACATGTAATTACATGCTAGACTGTCTACAGTCCTTTAATATCAATGATTCGTTTTATTTTAATTTCTCACATATATATGATTTTGTTTTCAAGGACATTTTAAGGACAAATTCTAAAGTGCACTGGAAGTGTCACGCCTTGGAAATGTAACTTTTTTTTTAATATTTGAGAACAATAATAGATAATGTTCCCAATTTTTTTATTGAATCCCACCTTAAATTACCTCTGACAAATTTATCCAGACTTTAAATCGATATTTTTGAGAATAATGTCCACTAGGCAAAAGAATTACAAGCACAATGAAAACAGCTTAGAATCGTACTGGAGGATTTGTGTTAAATAGGTCCAATTTGTCAACAAATGGACTGTGTGTATTTTCTGTAGGGGGATCGAAAGGTGATATTTGGCATATTTTACGAAATTCACTTTGTTTGCTTCTTCACAATCAGAATTTTCTGGCACATCTTTTCATCCAGTTGTAGTATATTTAAACCAATAAAAAGGGGTGTTATTGTTTCGAAATTCTGTAATGTTAAAAGTGAAAATGTATTTCCTTGCACAAATTAACCTGGATACTTATCAAAGCATTACCGAAAATAGCCAATTTTGTTTTATGGTGAATTCTGTATCTATCGACCTTATTACTTAAGCGCATAAGCAAATAAGTGTTATTTAGATAGTGTTTATGAAGGTCAGATAAATCTTGTTTACATAGTGTTTTAGAAGGTCTGATAAATATTATTTAGATAGTGTTTTAGAAGGTTTGATAAATGTTATTTAGATAGTGTTTTTAAAGTTCTGATAAGTATTTAAATAGTGTTTTAGAAAAAAAGAAAGATATAAGTTAATCTAGCGACATCAATGTCAGTGGATACAAATCAATTAAATTTCACATTATTATTTAAAATAATGTCTACTTCGACAGGCCAACCTACAATTTGCATTAATCAAACATTTTGAACAGAATATTTTTCTTTATCTATTTTCTAAAATACGTAACTTTAGATGAAAAATTTGCTAAAAATGGCCTTTTGGGTAAAATTGTGTTTTAAAACCTAATATCTATTTCAACTGGTATTTGTCGCAGAACTGATAGTTTAGTTACCATTCTTCCCTTTCTATGTGATATACTAAATAGAATATTAATCATTGAAAATTTTAATTAATCAAGACAAACACTATGAATTAATGAAGATATACAGATATGCTATCTTTATACAAATGTATATTTCTATTTGCACTAAGTTCATCCATCATAAACTTCATATACTCAAATTTGAACAAAATGGATAAACTCAACAAAATGGATAAATTTAACAAAGAGAAAAAAGGTTTACAATCTCTTATAAAACTAAGTGATATTCCTATTTGAATTAAAAATAAAAAAGGTCTGTATGAATATTATTTTTTTTTTCCAGTCTTTCCACAAAGTGCACCATGCAATCCCTTAAAAAACAAATGCTATCAAGACACAGGTCAAGATTTATGGTTCGATGTTAACCAGGCAAGACCCTCATGAAGTCCATCTCCAGTGGTAGCACAAGCTGGTTGAACATACCAATTTCTATCCCTTATCCTTGTTAATCCTAACTTCTCTGTTACTTCATGTGGCTTCATGGCTACAATATAGAAATTCATATTATATAAGCACTAAATCTCGGTTATTACTTAGTCGTAATTTACTCAATACACCCCTGCAAACCATTTGATTTCTACTACAGACACATTGTACTGTACAAATGTAAAATGGTTGTACAGATGTAAAATTTCACAGAATTTAATAACAGTAAATAAGTGGTAATAATAAGCTGACAACTACTTGGCTTAAGGTTATAGCTCTGGATTAGATCATTTATAATATCTCTTAAATAACCTGGACCTAAAATGCAGTACAATCATCTTAAAGTCTGTGGCTATTGTTTATATCTGGTCAAATAATCATTTCTTAAACAGCGTTGGACTTGGAGCCCCTTTTTAGATCATATTTTCATAGAGTAAAGTACATTCGTAATATTTATATTGGTGATTATATTTATTTAAAAAATCATGTTTTACTAGATAACTCAATCTAACTACTAACCGCTATTCAACTATGTCAATGCAAAGCAGGAATAATGTGACTGACATAGGGGACCAAATGTTTTTACATAATTATAGTTATAGAAATAAGAGAGTGTACAAAAACATAGTATACATTACCATCAGGCAAATCTTGTTTATTTGCAAAAACTAGTATTATGGCATCTCTCATTTCTCTATCATTGATAATACGATGTAGTTCTTGCCTTGCCTCATCAATACGATCTCGATCAGCTGTATCACATACAAATATTAATCCTTGGGTTCCAGTAAAATAATGTCGCCATAATGGCCTAATTTTATCCTGTCCTCCCACATCCTATAGTAAAAATGAATTGAGATTTATAGTAATTATACATGTACATGTATTAAAATGTTCTTCTCCCCGAACCTTTAATTTTGTCCCTAGTAATCAACCAGTTGGACTTGCCTCATCATTGGTTTATCATCTAGTGTTATATAATATATTATCCCTTTATTACACCTTTCACATAATTAGTTATTCTTGTCTATTTTTATACATGTGTAGTACATCATGTATATTGATTTATTTTTGTCTACTTTTATACATGTGTAGTATATTGATTTACTGGTAAACAATATTATATTCACAGGATATTGAAACAAGCACATGGCTTATATAAATTGGCTTCCACAAAACAAGATGACTAGTCATCAACATCCCGAGCCCTTGCACATGTTTGGGCGGTATAAGGAAAAACAACGTCTTTATGTTACTGGTAATCAATATAATGAAATTAAATGGGGTTTAACGTCCTACTGTTTTGCTCCGAACTGGGCTAATGAAGACGGGCATACACCATACAGTGTGCTATGAGGGAAATTTTGCCTGGACAGCGACACTACGGCCTACTCTTATATCGAATTCCAACTGTCAAGGGATCTTTTACGTGCACGCCAATGTGTACACAGGACCTCGTTTTTTTCGTTTCATCCGAATGACTAGACAGCTGTCCTTGTCAGGCCCTTCGTCCTGCATCACTGACAAGGGGAAACCACGTCGGAAAATCTGGATGAACTCTCGGCCAATGCAGGGATTGAACACCCAACCTCCAGCGTCTTACCCACTTAGCCACCGTGACACCCGGTAATCAATATAACAAGCCAATAGTGAGATTGATGTACCCCGCCGAAATCCCGAAATAAATAGTGACACATATTAATTAATTGCACTTAGACTAAGCAGCAAATTCTCATCATCAAACTTAGTCAAGGTAATGATATAATGAATCTATACTCCAGAGTTTCATAGCTCTCACTTAATTATAATAACCAAAGCTATCATGCCCAAAAGCATCAACCAATTAAATTACTTATCTCTGCTTGCCATAAACAGACAATGTTCATCAAGGCATTCACCTAATGAACGCCTATACCAAAAACTAAGTCAAATTTGTTTCAATAGAAACACAAAAAATATAAACCCAAGAAATTCCTGAATAGCAAAACACACAACTACATGTATTGTAATAGCCTAATAGGTTGATGTGTGCACAAAGTTTCATAAAGATATCTTGAGCGGTTTATGAGATATGCTCCGAAACTACTGTAATAGACTGATATGTTTACAAAGTTTCATAAAGATACTCGTATCTTGAATGGTTTACGAGATATGCTCCGGAAACAAAATTTTTGCCTCACAAACTAAGTCAAATTTGTTTCCAAGGAAACACAAAAAATATAAACCCAAGAAATTTCTAAATAGCAAAAGACACAACTACATGTATTGTAATAGCCTAATAGGTTGATGTGTGCACAAAGTTTCATAAAGATATCTTGAGCGGTTTATGAGATATGCAACGAAACTACTGTAATAGACTGATATGTTTACAAAGTTCCATAAAGATACTCGTATCTTGAATGGTTTACGAGATATGCTCCGGAAACAAAATTTTGCATCAAAAACTAAGTCAAATTTGTTTCCAAGGAAACACAAAAAATATAAACCCAAGAAATTTCTAAATAGCAAAAGACACAACTACATGTATTGTAATAGCCTAATAGGTTGATGTGTGCACAAAGTTTCATAAAGATATCTTGAGCGGATTATGAGATATGCTCCGAAACGAAATTGGGACAAAGGACGGACAGACAGATGGACGCCATTTCAATATCCCTCCCTAACTTCATTTGGCGCGGGATAATAAATGATATAATAAATGACATGTCCATGTATATTATAGGTCAACATACTGTACATGTACATGTACGTAAAGTGCTGAATTACATATGGTATCTATATAATAAGATTACAGAAAGAATATAATCAAGTGTTAGCTAACATCAGATCAAGAAAGGGTTGATACTTGACTGATTAAATTCCTTTTACTTCAGCAAATCCATGGAATATATGTCTGCATAATAGAGGTTTAAGTTTACGTTGGATTATTTGATCATTCCTTTCACCTTACATGTAGTTCTTTTGTTTTGTTTTTTATAGTGTATTAGCCCTTACATATCAATAGTTGGTTTCATCCAGTTTTATCAATTTTAATTAGTATATTGTTATAATGTTAGGTTGATTGTTGTTACAAATTATGTACTGTCTCTATTATCATTCATCACTACAGTACTACTCATATCCTTGTACTTAAAAAGTTCATATCAACCACTACCTAGTGGTCATACTTATCATTTAAGTTCCGTTCGAATTAATTCCTTTCATCTTTTATTGAAGATTATACATGTACATACACATACCCTTTTGAGTTTTTGATGATTGATCCTTATGTACCTCCCATTTCATTGTATTAACTAGCTTGATGACATTGACAGAATAAACTTACTCTTCTAAATGTTGCCCAAATAATGTATAGCTGTTTTTCATAAGTACATGAATGTGTTATACTATAGTGTAGTTTATTAACTCAAGTTAAAGTTTACTATAATTTCTTTATTTATTAAAGTTATCAAAGTCAAAGGGCCATAATTCAGTAAAAGATAATTTTAGCCTCAATATGCTTTTTAATCTTATGAACATATTATATATATTAATACAGTATGAAACACTGTATAAAATTGAAGTCAATAGGACAATCACTTTCCCCCTGAACTTTTGGCTTAATACAACTAAGACTGTTTTGATTCTTTGTGTTATTTGCACATTCACAATTCAATCAAACCAGTCTACCAATGCCTGTACGGTATAAAACGAAACGCTACCATTCCATACCAAATGAACAAAAGATAAGGACGAAACTGAATGAACAGTTTATCTGCAAAATATAAAATACTTTCAAACTTCTGTCAAAATGTAAGTTATCATCCAATTGCTCAATAATATTAGTAAGCAAAATTGAAATTATCTGTTAAGTTAAACTTACCCACACACTGAATTTGACATTTTTATATGTTACTGTTTCAACATTAAATCCTACTGTTGGTATGGTGGTAACTGGTTGACCTAACTTCAATTTGTATAAAACAGCTTAAATATAGTTAAGTATACCATAAATAACATGTAAATTCTGGACAGTAGTTGGCTTTGAAATTAAACTGTACACCAAATTCCATCACTCCCCATCAAACTGCATAAAATGTTCATTATCAACGGCAGCCCTGCCACTAAGCTAATGGACATCTACACCAAACTTGAACATTCTAATGCACATCAGGTCAATTGGATAATAACTTTCTACTCTAGAGTGTCCACAAGATATATCAAATGGATCAACGGCAACCAGGAATTTCAAGACAATCGAATGGTATAACAGAAACTATAGCCTTTACAGCGGTCACAAGCAATTGTGAACAACAGACCGATGGACAGAGTAATAAGTAAGCTTTATTTAACTTATACGACTACGTTTCAGTGTAGGTGTATGTATAAACATAAACCATTTTTTTTCAGATGTATTTTAAAGGATACTAGTTTTTCCAGCAGCATCTAAACCCAACATGAGAATCCTCATCTCTTTGTTACCAAAAATCTTTGATAACATCTTCCCCATTTTGTCTTATGTGCTATCCTGAAAAAAATATATAGATAGAATTCAATGGTCATTGAGTTCTGTTTTTATTCTATAACTACACTGTACTATCTAGATTATCAAAAAAAGAAATCATCACCAAAAACGTAAAAATTCATTATAGCTAGGTTCCGCCCTTTTTTCTTTCCTTTTTACAAAAATTGTGGTTGCCTAGTGGTGACGCATTACCGTTTGACGTAATTCTGAAAGTGACGTCATTCTGGACAAAAGTACAGTAGTATATTTTCAAGCCATTGGATACAACCATAGGTTATTTAATGGCTGTATTCAATGATATTTGCATATAGTTATAGAATAAATGTTTTTAGTTGTTATTAATTCAGTCCCACTAATGTACACATTACTACACAACATAAATTTTTAAAAGATCAGCTGATAAATTGGTGGTCTGTAGCATTGATTAGTACTAGTAGCATGCTCACAAGAAACTGTGGATGATGGACCACCAGATGGAAGTATATGTAACAGCAATATGACCAGATTTCCATATGACAATATAAAGAGGTATACTATATGTACATGTATGTACTATAATTTAAGCGTAAGCTTATATAAATATAAATTTAAAAAAGGGATTGTTAAAATTTGTTAGCACATGTCAGCTTGCCAATTCTTTGAAATATCAACTGTCGTATGAAATACATGTAGCCATGAGGCATGACAGTAGATACATATACATAAGCTTACACATATTCGTAGAGATAGTTTTAATCTACTTAAAGTACTTTTAATTTTTTTGTTAAATAATTGTGTACTTCACATTGCAGGGTCTAATGTTTGACAGTGATTTATTCCATGGTTTTCACAATATAGCAAAGAGTGTGTCCTGGGACACAGGGTTTATTTATATGTTAATTATTTAGTCTTATTCTTTAGTATTGTAATATTTTGATTGCTTTGCAGAAGATTCTCGTCGTCAATAAAAAATTCTATAATTATTAGTATTAATGATACGATAGGCATGTATGTACGTATGTATCTAGTGTCTTTAAAACAACTATCTATTAGTATTTAATCCATTTCCGCCATCCAGCTATGGGCACAAATCATCACTTTTAGACATATTTTCTACATCAAAACTTAAGGAATGTGGGACTTGAAATATCGCACAGGAAAATAAACTCCGCCCATTTTCCATACATGGTAAAAGAGATGTGGGTCTGCATGTGTCGACGCTTATAAATGCATACATATACATGTAGTATGAAAGTTTATATGGCCGATCATGTCGGTGAAAAAGTCCGCTTGATTAATTTAATGGATAATTTTTGCAGTAATATTAGTTAGGCACATGACATAGTCTACAATGTATGAGAAAGTTGCGTCGCTACATTGGGCTGGGTAATGTTTTAAAGATTAGTCAACTTCATAACTGGTATGCTATTAACAAAATGAGTTTGATGTGTGAAACTAAAGGGCTCCAATCTCAACTAAAAACAAATAGATGTACTTAATACATACTGAGTAGTGTATCCTGTACTATTGCCAGGCATTGGACAGGATTGGTTGGGTAAATCGTACGACCGCCCTTTCATAGAATGGAATGTGTCACTATTGGCAGATCTATCGCAATTAAACTTGCAAAATAACTAAATTTTATTACTTGGGTCACCTATTCTAAAGATTAGGCCGATAGTTTTGAAACACCCTGTTTACTGACATCACAACTTTGAACTTACCTTCGCCTTCTTTCTACTAAAAAGTCTTCACGCTTAATAACAATGTCAATATATGACTTGGGCTTTAATCTGCCGGCCTCGTGTAACTTTTTTATGCTCAGAAAATGATATCAGCTATTGAAATATATACTTCCTTATAACAGAATCACAAAGACAGGACTACAAATCAAATTCATTCTTAAAAAAGAATGTTTATGAATATTATTCACCTAAAAGACGTTACTAAATAAGAATGGCGGCCACGATTTTGTGCTTCCGCTTTAACAGTGCGAAATAGTTCTATGCACTATATAATATAATTTATTTCTTTTTTGTTTTGTTACATATTAGTTTCATCTGCAAGTGAACAGATATGTCGGTCAATACTGTCCCGGGTCCATGCTTGTTAATATAAAAGAAAACAGCGCGTTACTTTTATAATTATTTCCTCCTTCCCGAGCGTAGGGATATAAGAAAATGTTTCTTTTTGCCTTAATATTGAAGAGTAGGACAAGGAATGCAACTCCGACAAGTCAATTAGGTTTCAGGCCACATTATTTATATATAATCAGTATAATTCTATGACGGGTTTTACCAAAGCAAGTAGCTTAATTTGGAGAGGAATAAAGTAAAATATCGATTGATATTCAATTAAACGACAAATAAAATTATGGATCTAATTAATTTTTCTACATTGCTTAAATTATATCATGTGAATGAATGAATGAATGAATTAATGAAATGGAATGGAGTTTTATGGCACATTATAATATCATGTAGTCTAGTCCTAGTAGGGCCCATGGGTTCCATGGACTTACCCATGAACCGTATTTCCATGATTAAACCATCTGTATTTACCCAAAACAGCCAGTACAGCAGTAGATCCTATGACAATAAGAGTTGTCTTTCTTGCTTTTTTTATTCATTAATTGAAGATTTTTGATTTAAAGGTATTAAAAAAGAGTAGGGTTTAAGGAATATTTAACATATGCCTACGTATTCAAAAGAGACCCCGCCCCCTTTCTAAAAATAACACAACCTAAAACAGCACATAAAAAATACAGTTTGTTTTGACTAAATCTGATGTAGACCTTATTATGTGGTAGGCTAAATATCAATCTAATTTCTTTTTTGTAAGGGCTCTGGCGCAATTTAGTTGACTATTGGCGATGGATTTTGATGAGTGATATACATGTATTAAGCTGTCAGTATGTAATTTTAAAATACCATTTTATACACCCACAATTGTGGACACTCTACAGGTCACAATTTTTATTTGATTTTGAAGAAACTTAAAAATAGGTTTCTATCTCACAAAGATCTCAGTTCTTTTCGATATTGGCATATATTGGACCATAACTTCATGGATTATGGCCCCTGGTTGTACAAAAAAATCACGTTTTAGCTTGTGGACACTCTAGAGGTCACATTTATCTGTTCGAATTTCGTGAAAATCGGACCAAAACTGCCGGACCAAATGGCCACCCTTCGTACGCAAATAGTGTAAATGTATGGTATAGGTTGTGGACCCTCTAGAGGTTATACATGTTTGTAATGTAACCCAAAGATCTTGGTTCCTTTCAATACTTGTACATTACGGATCTCAACTTCCTGAATCATGGCTCTTGATTGTAAAAATCGCATTTTTAGCTTGTGGTCCCTAGAGGTCACAATTTTTATCCGACTGAAAAAAAACTTTGAATATATCACCGTCACACCCAAATGACGGCTGAGTTCGAATTTCGTGAAAATGGTACCAAAACTGCCGGACAAAATGGCCGACCCTCGTGTGCAAATAGTGTAAATATATGGTATATCAAGGTTGTGAACCCCCTAGAAGTCACAGTTTTGATCCGATGTTGATGAAACTTGAAATACACGTAACTGACTGAAGCGACGAGTGAAAACAGCCACGGCCGTATTCCTACTCATTAATAATAATTCCTTCGAAGACCAAAAATTGTTGTGGTGAGACTGCGAGAGGATATCTGACAATTCATAAAAAGAATTGACTGCCACTAGATAAGAGAACACGAAAGAAAAATAGAAAAGTCCGTGCATTGCCATGTTTTTATAAGGTATAGAATGAATAAAAACAAGGGAATGTACGGACTATTTCTATTTTTCTCGTGTTCTCTTATCTAATGACATTCAATTACTTTATTGAATTGTCAGATATCCTCTTACAGTCCCATATAACAACTTTTGGTCTTCGAAGGAATTCTTAGTGAGCAGAAATTCGGCCGTATATCTCACTCGTCACTTCAGTCAGTTATATTATACTATAGAGGGATAACTCATGTTTTCCTTTGGCGTTCGTCACTTCCGATTCATGACACCTGCAATGTATTCATTGACGTCAATGTCTGTATTACTCATCTATCGTAGCAATTATGATCTCTGTGTTAAAATTATATTTGGAACGTGTTTAACCAGTTCTATCACATGTGATAATGACTGACACCAATATTGTCCTTTACTGGCACCCGTCTTAGCTTGCCATTGAAAGGGGTAGATATCTTAAGATACCACTCCAGGTTCGCTTCTGTAAAAAATGCAATGCAAGCAAAATTGAATCTGAACAACATTTTCTTATGGAATGCCAAAAATATGAAGATTTAAGAAAACAATATTTATATCAAACTCTTGACAATACTGGTCTAACCTTTTCATTTGAAAATCTATTCGACCCACCGAGTATTATCGCCACAGGTGTCGCAGCCTTTGTCTACTTCTCTTTTCTTTGGAGAGACATCTGAACTGTTAAATATGCATGGTATTTTATTTTCTTTTATGTGCGCACGCTTTGTTCTGTATTTTAATATATTATGTACCCATATGTGGGTCTATCTGTCGAGTTATGTGATTTAATACCTTGTACGTTTTGTTGCATATGCAGGTTTCATACTGTTTATTTATGAGTGCTTTGAATTTATGTCCGTCCATATTTTTGTATCCGTCCAATTTTTTGCACCTGTATTTCATATTTTGTATATTGTATGGTGTCCTCGACAAGGGAGGTTCCGATGCACCTGTACTTAATATTTCGTATATTGTATGTTGTCCTCAAGGGAGGTTCCGATGCAATACTGTGTGTCTTGTGTTATAATTGTCATATTGTTATAATTTTATGTACATGTTTATATTGTATGCTGTCCTAAATGGATGTTTCGATGCAATAAAATCTTATCTTATCTTATCTTATCACTATCCATTTTCCACTTCCAGATTAAAACACATTTAAAAATTTACCAAACAAATGACATTTAGTAATTGGGACATACTCAAATAACAAACTATTCATGGAATAACAATTAATCCATGGTAACGGTTATTCCATAAATATAGCGCGTTTCTTGAAAGTCATGTGTAATCATAATGTAATATCGACTTTCCACTGTGTGTTCACACCTGATTTATTTTAGAGTAACGCCCCTTACTTACTCTCTTGAGTTCATATTTTGTAAACACAGAACGAGAAGCCAAGGCTAGAAAAGTATCCGATTTTGGAATGTAAATCACAATACCGGTACGGTAATTAATTAAAAAAAAAAGGACCCACAAACTTCTATCCAGTCTCTCGTCTGGGTCACGCTATTTTGCTTTAGTTTATGAATCCACAATTTATATACATTTTATACTTAAAACTCCTGATTGAACAATGGTCGATGGATTAATAATACTAATACTATTAATAGTTATTAGTTCAGCTCTGAACGTCAACGTAGGTCTCATTACACTCGCCCTGTACCGTACGTTCAGTAACTGCCCTATTGAGAGAGAGAGAGAGAGAGAGAAATGGGGTTTAACGTCCACTCGACACAAACTAGGTCATTTCGGGACTAACATGGTTTAATTTTTTATTTCAATAATTCGCTTGCAGAGGAGGAAACTGGAGAAAACCCACGAAGTTGGACAGGCGACCCTACTCCTTGTCACGTACAACTGGGGATTCAAAACCACACCAATTGACTCACTGTCCTATTGAAGCCTTGTCGAAAAATCTAATCGCTTCCCAGTCAATTTTACTGGGAAACTTTTTACTGCTAAACGGTCGCGTATGAACGCCTGAACAATATAAATGAACTTAGTGAGAAAATAAGACCTTGCTTTACCTCGCTAGAACCAGTATAAACGACACAACATGCTGTTAAAAAATACGTCCCTGTCTTCTTACCACCTTAGCGGACTTCATTGAAAGGGTAACACACAAATTTACGAACTCGGCCACATAAGATGAAACGAAATGTAATGAGACCTACGTTTAGAGCTGAACTACTCTGAACGTAGGTCTCATTTCACACGCCTGTACCTTCAGGAGCCGTCCTATTGAATCCTTGTCGAAAAACGAATCGGCCCCCAGTCAATTTTACTCATTACACTCGCCCTGTACGTTCAACCGTCCTATTGAATCGAATACCTGACAACTCATCCTAAGGTACAACTCATCCCTATATAAGACAACTCATCTCACATTAGAAGACAACTCATCCCAAGATAAAAGACAACTCATCCAAACTCGAAAGTAGGTAGTATGTGTTCCACAGGTAGAAAATGTAGAGCCAATTAAAACCCCATTTCATTGAAGTGCTTCATGATGAAATAATAACCCGCCATTGTTTCCAACGGGTTGATATTTGTCTTGTTTGTCATATTTTTTGTATGTGAAACTCCACAGTGTTTTTACCACTTTGCCTATTAAATTAACATCGTTCCAGGACCCCATCGTTCTATGATTTATTTGTGGGAGTGCGTTAAGCTGATCTGACGCGTCCGATTTGTTGATATCTTCGACTTTGCTGCGGGTAAGGCCTCAATGGTACTGTCAGAGAAATAGTTGTCTGCAAGTCTACAAAACAGTACAATTGTATTATGACAAATATAACTAGCACTTATATTTGTTGGGATGACTTGTCTCATATCTCGACCCATGTTTTAAAGTTGGGATGAGTTGTCTTCTAACATGGGATGAGTTGTCTTATATTGGGATGACATAGGGCAAATCTTCTCTTTTCAATCGAAGTGGTCGACAAACATTTTCACGCCTAGAACAGAAGATGTGCATAGACTACCATTATCTACAGAACCAGAATAAGAAACTGATTCGTAAGACTTACCAAAGGCAAATTTGGAATTACCATGACTATGACCACTGACCCCATACAACTAAATAATTTCTTTAAGAGATTTGACTGGGATGGGTTTTTCGCCCCAAAACTTGAGCCCAAACTTGCTAGTTGAAAACGTTTTGAATACATTGATTAAAGCTGTAAACAATTTCGTTAGACACAAATTTGTAACAATTCGAACAGGTGATACTCCATGGATGAATGGGTACACCATAAAAATAATTAGGAAAAGAAATTGTATTGATAAAAAGGCAAAATACTTTCCCACCCACTGGCAATGTTTTCATAAGAACAGGAATTTTGTCATTTCAGAAATTCGAAAAGCAAAGCTGGACTATTATCACAAAATAGATAGCGACATTAGTTCAAATTGTTTTCAAGAGAAACACTGGTGGAATCTTGCCAAGCAATTTGGTATAAAAAATGGAAACTAAAAAAGGGAATTACCACCCCTACTTGATTTTGATAATAAAATCAAATACGGAGATAAGACAAGGCAAATATCTTAAACTCCTTTTTTATTAAATAGACAATGCCGGACAATATTGATGATATAGTCTCTACCATTACCTTCAATGATTTTGCAATTGAAGAACCAATGTACACATCTAATCTTGTCTTCGATATTCTAAATTCACTGTCCACAAATAAAGCTAGTGGCCCTGATCTTATTAATAACAAAATATTAAAATCTTTTTCACATAGCCTGGCAGTTCCATTAAGTAAAATTTTCACTCTTTGTCATCAAATACAACTTTTCCCAACAGATGGAAAATGGCAAATATTGTTGTGATATTTAAGAAGGGAGATCCACAATGATTGTTGTAACTATTGACCTATATCCTTGCTTAGTACTTTAGGTAAGGTTTTCGAGAAGTGTATTTATAAGTTTATTCATAACTTTGTTCTCACTCATGATATATTAACCGATTTTCAGTTTGGATTTAGACCCAATGACTCCAAAGTCTACCAACTTTTAGATATTTATGATGAAATTTCCAAGACCCTTAAGCAAGGTACTGAAGTCAAAGTTATATTTTTTGACATCAGCAAGACGTTTGATCGTGTGTGGCATAAAGGTCTACTACATAAACTAAATGCCATTGGCATAAAGGGTAAAATACTTTCACTCATCAAAAACTATTTACAAAATCGAAAACAGGCTGTTGTGTTTAAAGGTGAATATTCCAAGTTAAAAACCGTATTTTCAGAAGTTCCCCAGGGCTCTGTCATGGGACGCCTCCTTTTCTTGATCTATATCAACGATGTAATAAATGATATCAACTCTATCCATGAAATTCTCCCGAAAACATATGCTAACTAATGTTAAACTGAATTTCAATGGGGCTGAACTTAAACATCTCGGAATAATATTTCATAGAAGCTGTAAATGGTCTTCCCATGTCAATTATGTTATTGCCAAAGCCAGTAAGATGATTGAATGCTTTCACAGTTTCAAATACAGAATCTCGCGTAAATTTACAAAAGTTTTATTCTGCCAATATTTGATTACACTGACGTGTGGAATAACTGTAGTCAAGACTCTGCCGCTAAACTTGAAAAACTACACTTGGACGCATTACATACTATTACAGGCCTTGTTAGAGGCACTTCACACAAACAATTTGTCTTATTCAATGAAATGTCCAAAAATCAAACCCACGGATATTTAAATATCCTTGTACCCTGAAAAGTTACTGATCTAAATCTTTATCTGGTACATAATCAAACCCAATATAGCAAAAAATCATGCTAAAATTTTGTTACACAAAAACTCCTTTTTTCTGTCGGTAATTGATGAATAGAATATTTTGCCTGAAGGAATTAAAGATGCCCAAAATATTTCTACCTTTAAGCGAGAGCTATATAATATAATCAGTCAGTTTAAAATCCCAAAGTATTACTATTTTGACAACGTCAGTACCAAGTAATCCATTGCAGGATTCGTAACAACAAAAGTAATTTAAACTTCCATAAATTCCTTATGAATGAATATCAATGATAACCCAAAGTGCTCATGTGTCCATCAAATAGAGAATCCCGAACATTATTTTCTCTACTGTAATAATACTAATAATTATTCCGATATCTGCAATACAACTATTAATACACTGCCATATGACCAACAAACGGTCTATCTATCTTAAAGGTAACAATGATCTTGGTGATGTTGTAAACGAAAATATATTCTAGATAGTTCGTCATTATTTAAAACTTAACAAAACGTTTTGACACATAGAAAATTATCTTTGCGATTGACTGGAATATAAATAATTAACAATAAGTCTTTAACATAATGAAATCCTTGAAATTTCACACAAATTTTGCATGTACATGTAGCTCCATGTGTGAAAGACGAGATGTGCGGTGGGGTACATCATTAGATTGTACATTATTAGATTGTTAAGCTTACTTTTGTTATAGTAGACACACATTTTGGCAATATTTTAGTCTCAGAATGAATGGTGTCCCTTAAAACTCCTTTTAATTAACTTTATAATGAGGGGCATATATGTAAAGATTTTCTACCTTATTTCTGTGGTTATATTATTACAGGTTGTGTGAATGGAAAATGGAATCAGAACGGAAAATGGATAATAAATATCATAGAATTGAAACTAAAACAGCCGTTGTTAAAATGACTGGAGCTGTTCTTACAGAAGCATCACAGTTTGAATCGGATGATGAGAGCCAGTCAAATGAAGCTAGTAGGCTACTTAATGGTGCTGTTAATTCAAAAATGCCCACTAATTCTTGGCAAATTACCTCAGACAAACAACCACATAACAAATTGAAACAGCCATCAAATATTGGAAAGAATATTTCACCTGTTAATAAAAGTGACAGAGATTTGAATTCACTTTCTTCTCCATCTAGTAGATTGTATGATGTTAGTGCTAGTCCTGAAAAACAGTTGAATCGTTTCAATCCTTTTGATAGAGATTTAAATATTGATGATGAATATTTTGACGATTTCAAAGATAATTACTTTCTAACTCCAGATCAAGAAGATTTAATAAATAACACAAGATCAGGTAATACCTATCATTTTATTACTGGTTAATAGAAAATACTGAGGATCCAGTATATGAATCGTAAAATACTGTCAAACTACAGACACTGTTATTTATTAGAGATTGAAAGGTTTCGGTGTATTTTATAAAAGCAGTTAGCCACGGTGGCTAAGTTGGTAAGATGCTGGCTCGCTAGCCTGGAGGTCGTTTGTTCAATCCCTGCATTGGCCGAGAGAGTCTATCGTGATTTTCCGATGGGGTTTCCCCTTGTCAGTGGTGCAGAACGGAGGATTTGACAAGGACAGCTGTCTAGTCGTTCGGATGGTACGAAAAACTGAGGCCCCGTGTATACATTGGTGTACACGTAAAAGATACCTTGGCAGTTGGAATTCGATATAAGCTTTCTGCAATTTATATACATGTAGCATTGAGCTTAGTCAGAATTTCAACTTTTTGTAAACTTAGCGATTATGGTTTTCTATTTTTTTATTGAACATTTTACATGTATGAAAGAGGTGCATCACCTATTTTGAGACTGTTTTAATAAGTTGAACACCAATTTGGTTTGAATGATTTCTGGATGTTGCACCCAGAATTACTTCTCTTGATTTATATACTGAATGAGAGGAACATGTACATTGTATACTTGATCGATAAACTAATTGATTATTCAACCCCTTTTCTCGGTAGAATCGTTTTGCAGTAATGAATTTACGCCAACTGAAGATGGTAATTCAGATAGTGAGGAAATTACTTTTGCTGATCTTGGACTTGCAGAAGACCATTTCTCACATCCCGAGGTAAAGGATTAATTTTTATACGCCTATATTGAATTGTAGGTCAGATATGTTGCCTAATATTTCTTGTGAATTCTCTACAGACCATATTTATCATCCAATATGTCAGACGAAGAATTCCAGCAATTTCTAATAATACATATAACTTCCAGGGTTATTGTCCCTCACTACTTTGTAGAATCATGTGAATAACAATTTTTTTTACATATACTATTCAAAAAAAGTAGGGGATATTTGATTTTGGGGGCATAATACTAAAATATGCAAATGACTACGAAAAAAGTCACTATAGAACCTAACAGAAGAAACATTTCCAGTTACATGTGACGCCCAAACGCACCAATAGCTACCGCATGGAATGCAGGTGATGCTTGGGATCATCATGGGGGTCCAACCCAAGATTTGCACGACTCTGACTTTGAATGTTACAGTCATTGTGGCATTGAATTCCAGGGTGGAAACATCAGTTTAATTGTTTTAGTGACCAGAAAACAAATTTTGATATGCGTCGGCTTACCCAAAATGAAAGGTTACGTGCCCTTGGCATGCTACAGATCGGCACAACACAGGCGGTTGTGGCGCGGACGATGAATGTTTCTCAGTCTGTCATAAGCAGGCTATGGTCCAGATACCGTGATACACAATCTGTACAGGACAGACCACGCTCAGGTCGACCAAGGGCGACAACTCAAGCCCAGGATCGATTACCTTGGCCTTGAGAAATCGTGTCATCACAGCAAATCAGATCAGCGCTCGTCTTCAAACAGACACTGGTGTGAGAGTGAGTGGCCAGACGATTCGGAATCGACTGCATAGGGGTCACCTTCGCGCCCGACGTCCTCGCGTGATCCCTTGTTTGAGAGATCATCACATTCAGGCAAGACGTCGTTGGTGCAGGGATCGTCAACACTGGGATAATCGACGCTGGAGCAATGTGATGTTTTCAGATGAGTCAAGGTTCACTGTTGATTTTTTGGACAGACGTAGGAGGGTGTGGCGTCGTCGAAACGAGCGCTTCCAAGACGTTAACGTCATCAGACATGATCGATTGGGGGGTGGTTCTGTTATGGTGTGGGGTGGCATCACTGTTGCTGGAAGAACGGCTTTACATGTTGTTGCAGGGCGTGTTACAAGGCAGTACTACCGGGACAACATCTTGGCAGTCCATGTTGTGCCGTTCGCACGATGTCATGGCCGCCGTTTCATCTTCCAGGATGACAACGCAAGATGTCACAGGGCCAGGATCGTTACAGGTTACCTCCAACAACAGAACATCACCACATTACCTTGGCCAGCACTGAGTCCCGACCTCTCCCCCATCGAGCATGTCTGGGACATGCTTGGACAGAGGTTACGTCAACGTCAACAACGTCCTGCCAATGTCCAAGAACTTGCTGCTGCGTTGCAACAGGAATGGGACAATCTGGACCAAAATGACCTTAGACGTCTCATTAGGAGTATGCCACGTCGGATCAATGCTTGTTTGGCAAACAGAGGAGGATTTACCCGTTACTGACTTGGTTGTGATGCTGTGGTAACTTTGCTGTTTGACCCCGGGTATCATTTTACCCTTATAATGGTCAGTCTGTGCCTTACTTAGTCTAACGATCATTTGGAATAAATCGATGAATGTGAACTTCATTTCATTTTGTCATTTGTTTCTTCGTCAGTTTCATTAGGTGACTTTAATAACACTTAAAAATCAAATATCCCCTACTTTTTTTGAATAGTATATATTGTTAAGATCAGTGAAATGATGAATCCTATCAAATTTCAACAGTTTCCATTTACCTGTAGAATCTTTTGAATGCTCTAGCATCAGACGTTATCATCTGATCAGACTGAAATTTATATTCATTGTTAAGTTTATTAGAGAACTGAGTTATTGACTGTATCTTCTTATTTATAAAAACTATTTTATAATATTTAAAGCTGAACTCCGATTACAAAACTACAGAAATAATCAAATAAAAAAAATTAACACCCTAAACAATCGCCATACTTGTTTTCAAGTTGTAGAACAATCATGGCGATTGTACGGCGTACAAAAACAAAGGCAGGCCACGCCCACATCCAGTCCACGCCTTGTCAACCACACTGTCCACATCTGGCTAGCAATATTTCAACTACCAATTACCTACTGACTGATTGACGTTTTTTCACTAACAGTTTACTGAAAGTATTATTAATTGCTACACAATTATTATATCTGATCAGGTACATATCCAAACAATAAAAAAATCTACCAACACCAACCAATTCTATGTTGTTGACATAACATCAAGGGACATAACTACATCCATGTACTTCGCAAGATGGTGAATATTTTAAAGTGAAAACATACTTCTTTGATGGAGAGAACAACAGTTTTATTGCTGCTTTGGATCCATTTTGGAACGATAATACTAGACTTTGTAATACTAGAAAATATTTGGTGTTTCCACGCTGTTGTACAAAACATTGCAAGAAATAGGAAAAAAATTGTTGGTGTTGGTAGATTTGTTATTGTTGGGGTAAGGCAGTTTTTCTCATATTTTTAGAGCAAAAGTACACCGTGGTTTACGTATTTCCTCTGATTAGTAAAATAATATGTACCTGATCAGACATAATAATTATGTAGCAATAATATTTTCAGTAAACTGATAGTGAAAAAATGTCAATCAGTCAGCTGAAATATTGCTAGCCGGATGTGGACAGTGTGGTTGACAAGGCATGAACTGGGTGTGCGCATGGCCTGCCTTTGTATTTGTACGCCGTACAATCGCCATGATTGTTCTACAACTTAAAAACAAATATGGTGATTAATTAAAGCGTTAATTTTTTTAATTTAATTATTTCTGTAGTTTTGTAATCAGAGTTCAGCTTTAACAATCTTTGTCATTAATAGTCATCTAACAACAGTTTAGAGTAATCTCGCCGAAGTGCCACCATTGGAAACAGGAGTCAATCTTTAAAATCTATCTCCTTTTACAATTCTTATCCGATTTTCATCATCTTTATATTTTGGGAAACCATTCACAATTTGCAACCTATCTCTTAGATCAGAATTTTGATATTTGACCTAGATTTATTTAAAGCGACATCATAAAATTCAATTTTCTAATGATAGTACAAAACTTTGAAATTCGGTCAAATTTTGATGTCAAAGGATTAAGTGGGACATATGGAGCTAAATTTGAAAGTTTTATCAAAACTGATTTGCAAAAAAGGCTCTGGGCAACTTTTAGGAAACAGAAATTTTGCCCGGGTGAAAAAACGGAAGTCAATCTTTAAAAACTATCTTGTCCAACAAATTCTTATCCGACTTTGAGTATCTTATATTTTGGGAAACCATTCACAATTTGCAATCGATCACTGAAATTAGAATTTTAATATCTAAATATTTTTCAGTTAGTAAGACGCTGGTTTAGGTCAAATATCAAAATTATAATCTCACCAATATATCACTGTTACCAAATGATGCTGGAGTTCGAATTTCGTGAAAATTAGACCGAAACTGCTTGACAAAATGTCGCTCCTTGTACGCAAATAGTGTAAAAGGTTGTGGATCCTCAAGAGGTCACAATTTTTATCCGATTTTTATCCGATTGGTTTCCAAAAATATGACGATATTGAAAATTGGATAAGAATTGTAGGACGAGAGATAGATTTTAAAGACTGACTTCCGTTTTCAAAATGGTGACACTTCCTGTGAATTTTAACTTAGAGAGATTACTCTAAAAAGTTAAATATCAGACCTCATTTTCAAAATTGAGATAATCAGAATTAAAATTAGGTCATATGCATGCGTGGTAGAGACCACATTCGATCTTTTCAATTAGAATTTTGATTTTTGAAGTGATGTCATGAATTGGAATTTTGAAAAAAATGCTTGGACTCTTCAATATTTATAATTCTTATGACATTTTTTTACAGGGGCACTTTGGTCTAAGTAGTCAAGAAGAACTCGAGCTGGCAATCAGTGCTTGCAAACACTTGATCAAAGCAGTTCAACCTAATTCTGATAAATACAAAAATTTAGTGAAAAAGCTTATACAGTTAAGATTAAAGAAACAAGAGTTGAAGGTAATATTGTAAGTCATAATGTGAAAAAATGAAACCTGGCCATTAACTGTCTATAAATAGTTTCATTTGTAAAATGCATCATTAGTTATTAAAATTGGTAAGGACTTTCAATAACCGTGCATGTTGTGTAAATATTTTCAAATAAATTCAACAGCATATTATTACTTTTATGGGAAACTATGATTATCAAAGAACCGTAAGTGCCTCTAATGTTTTATTGTTTGGCAGAGCCTTTTAATAACCATTTGTTTCATATTACTATTTTCTTACATGATTTAAGTTAAACATACATTATGCAAGAGCTAAATCTGATTATTGCAAGTCTTTATTTAGGCTTCAGATGTCATAGAAATTATAAATTAGATCTTTATTTACACAACAAGCACAAAATCAACTCTGTAGACCCACAGATGGCTTGGATTCAGCTTGGATTTAAACGGGATTTCGTTGACTAATTTAATTTTTAATGCTGTCGTGAGCGGAGATTAACCATTACGTTGACGTCATACTCCTGGATCGAGGCTAAATGATAGAGTGTACGAAGCGAGGCCACTGTTGAGCGATGCCTTAACAAATGACATCTAAACTATTTAAAGTGCAATAAACTAAACACAAATAATGACAAATTATACAATTCCTGGAGACCGTGTGATGACTAATACAGACGGACAGGTCTTCTGTCTTAATAATATCAATAAAAATATTTTTATTTCCCCAATAGGCACGACGCCACTGGTGTATACCTATAGATTTATCATAATTGTATTATAATATTATGTCCTATATTCACTTGATTTAATGCATGCCCAAAATACAAGTAAGAATGAAAATTTACCCTCTCACTCATTTTGTCCAGTTGTTATAAAAATCCAAAAAGGTAAAACACAAATTCGGATATGATGACAGCAGACAAAAGACAGCAGAGATTATGTAGGTGGAGTTAGTGCCTGTCAATCAAACGATCGGCCATACTAAGAAGCGGTGAAGATGGAATTCAATCCCATTTTTAGTCAAAAATTACACTGGTGATAACTATGTTCAGAATAAAGTAGTTTGACAGAAATTTTTAATATATTCTTTATTCATCATCTATTTTTGAACTGTTATAGCAAGAATGGCTAACTCCTTATAAAAATCTCCCATAATGTACCTTTAACCTATTTCAGATAAATTCATCAACTTTTTTTTATATCAAATATGCAAAAATACTTACATGTAAAATATAATAAAGATAATAACCGTTAACCAAAATATTGGTCCGAGTGGTCTTTATTTAATAATAAGTAAATAACAATATGTTGAGTATTTTATTTTAATTTGGTAAGAGTGGTCATCTGTCCCGGAACATGTCTTGATACCGAGTAGTCTTCTAAATAAATAAATAGATAACAATATGTTGAGTAGTCTTTTATTTTAATTTTGTGTGAGTGGTCTTCTGTCTTGGACTGTGTCTTGGTCCTAGTGGTCCTCTAATCTTGGTTTCGAGTGGTCTTCAGTTGGTCCGACTGGTCGGTCTTAGTCCGAGTTGTCTTTGTTCAGAGTTGTCTCATTACTGACTGAGTGAGTATGACACTGGCTCTCTAACTAGGGTATTCCTGGTGTCCCTTTCTCAGTGGCACAGGATGGAAAATTAGAGAGAGAGAGAGAAATAGGGTTTACCGTCCGCTCGACACAAACTTTGTCATTTCAGGACTAACATGCTATTAATTATATTTCAATAATTTGCTTGTGCGTAGAGGTCTTTAGCAGTGGGAGGAAACCGGAGGACCCGGAGAAAACCCACAAGGTTGGACAGGCGACCTTTCTCCTTGTCACGTACAACCAGGGATTCGAAACCTGGAAAATCAGAAAGTGTTGAGTCCTTCGAATGGATGGAAAAACATGGGTACTCCTTGGTGTACACGTAAAAGAAACTTTGACAATCAGAATTGATCAAGAGTAGACGGAAGCTCTGCTATGTAGGCAAAATTTCACTAATAGGGTACTGCATGGCAAATGCCTGTCTTCATTAGCTGGTGATGGTGCAATATAGCCTGGTTGGTACTGACGTGCCATTAAAATTAAACACCATTTCATTTCATTTCAAGCAGGACATTCAACTCCATTTTATTTCTTATTTGAACATCAAAGGCAATATAACATTGATAAAGCCTTTGAAAATTCTTCACCGTAGTAGTAGAAAACAGATGCTGAGAGTTAGACCTTGGAGAAGAAAGAAAAGATGAAAGTTTTCTGTGGATTACACAATAATCATCCTTGTCAACTTAAGTTACATGATGGGAAATTGTAGAAATATTCTTGAAACCATTACAAGAAGAAATGAATTTATGTAGAACACATAGAAGAAATGATTCTGAAAGAAAACATTTTGCCTTTGCAAACATTCTGAAAATGTCCACCAGTAACAGTGAACCTTCCATCTTGGAAATGTAAAACTTGGAACACCCAGACTATAATATGTTATAATCTGATTGTTTTGCTATTTGAACAGATTATATCTTTTTCAAGGAAAGGAACTCCATAGTTTATTACAGCATTTATTAAAATGAAATGAATGGGGTTTAACTTTCTGCTGTGACTGGACTGATGAAGACAGGCATACGTCATACAGTGTACTATGAGGGAAATTTTGCCCTTTAAGAGGTGCACCTGTCTACTCTTATGTCAAATTCCAACTGCCAATTTGTACACAGGATCTCATTTTTCCGTCCCAATCAAACGATCAGACAGCTGTCTGTTGGGTCCTCTGTAATGCACCACTGACAAAGGGGAACCACGCCACAAAATGCTGATAGACATTTCTTCACATGACAAGCCTTAATTAATTTTTCTTAGACCATCGGATGGCTGAGGTATTAAATGGATTCAACCTTTTGCACCATAGATTCAGTTAATGTTAAATTGGACGATCAAGACTTTGTTTATTATCGTAGCAATGGTACTTGACAATCAAGACTATTTAGTCTAAATCTTTTTAATATAATCATTTTTTTTGATATATTTTTAAACTATTATAGTAAGAAAGGCCAGCTCTTTATCTAATAATTAGGAACCGCGGCGGCTCAGTGATTAAAACATTGGCTTAAAGATACATTATGGGAGATTTGATAACGAGTTGGCAGTTCTCACTATAATAGTTAAACACTAGATAACGTAAAGGCAATTTGTTGAAAATTTCATTCAAATTGATCCACTATGAACCAAGAACTAAGCGGTTGAAATTTCCGGCTAGCCTTGATCATCATTACTAAAGTCAGTACGATAAACAGCATAGTCTCGATTATCCATTTAATCGTTAAATCGTGAAGGAAAGTTATGCTGTAAATTGGTTCATAATCCACTAATGATCACAGGCTAGCGATGCCATCTAGAGTTGATTATGGTCTGGATAGGTTAATTAATGTCTAGTTAATAGTTTAGATAACATTTCAGGCCTAAAGAAAGACCTGCAATAGGCAGATTTAGCTCTTGCATAATGCAACCTGGATATCCTGTGTTCCCCCTTGAAATTCGGATTAGACAAAAAAATCAATATCCTGTGTACACATCAGCGTGCACGTAAATGATCCCTTGGCAGTTATAATTTGATATAAGATTAAGAGTCTGGACAAAATTTCTCTCATAGCACACTGTATGTTGTATGCCCGTCTTCGTTAGCCCAATCGGGACAAAACAGTAGGACGTTAAACTCCATTTCATTTCATTTCTTTATCTAATTCTTATATACTATTCAAAAAAAGTAGGGGATATTTGATTTTGGGGGCATAATACTAAAATATGCAAATGACTATGAAAAAAGTCACTATAGAACCTAACAGAAGAAACATTTCCAGTTACATGTGACGCCCAAACGCACCAATAGCTACCGCATGGAATGCAGGTGATGCTTGGGATCATCATGGCGGTCCAACCCAAGATTTGCACGACTCTGACTTTGAATGTTACAGTCATTGTGGCATTGAATTCCAGGGTGGAAACATCAGTTTAATTGTTTTAGTGACCAGAAAACAAATTTTGATATGCGTCGGCTTACCCAAAATGAAAGGTTACGTGCCCTTGGCATGCTACAGATCGGCACAACACAGGCGGTTGTGGCGCGGACGATGAATGTTTCTCAGTCTGTCATAAGCAGGCTATGGTCCAGATACCGTGATACACAATCTGTACAGGACAGACCACGCTCAGGTCGACCAAGGGCGACAACTCAAGCCCAGGATCGATTTATCCGTACCTTGGCCTTGAGAAATCGTGTCATCACAGCAAATCAGATCAGCGCTCGTCTTCGTACAGACACTGGTGTGAGAGTGAGTGGCCAGACGATTCGGAATCGACTGCATAGGGGTCACCTTCGCGCCCGACGTCCTCGCGTGATCCCTTGTTTGAGAGATCATCACATTCAGGCAAGACGTCGTTGGTGTAGGGATCGTCAACACTGGGATAATCGACGCTGGAGCAATGTGATGTTTTCAGATGAGTCAAGGTTCACTGTTGATTTTTTGGACAGACGTAGGAGGGTGTGGCGTCGTCGAAACGAGCGCTTCCAAGACGTTAACGTCATCAGACATGATCGATTTGGGGGTGGTTCTGTTATGGTGTGGGGAGGCATCACTGTTGCTGGAAGAACGGCTTTACATGTTGTTGCAGGGCGTGTTACAGGCCATTACTACCGGGACAACATCTTGGCAGTCCATGTTGTGCCGTTCGCACGACGTCATGGCCGCCGTTTCATCTTCCAGGATGACAACGCAAGATGTCACAGGGCCAGGATCGTTACAGGTTACCTCCAACAACAGAACATCACCACATTACCTTGGCCAGCACTGAGTCCCGACCTCTCCCCCATCGAGCATGTCTGGGACATGCTTGGACAGAGGTTACGTCAACGTCAACAACGTCCTGCCAATATCCAAGAACTTGCTGCTGCGTTGCAACAGGAATGGGACAATCTGGACCAAAATGACCTTAGACGTCTCATTAGGAGTATGCCACGTCGGATCAATGCTTGTTTGGCAAACAGAGGAGGATTTACCCGTTACTGACTTGGTTGTGATGCTGTGGTAACTTTGCTGTTTGACCCCGGGTATCATTTTACCCTTATAATGGTCAGTCTGTGCCTTACTTAGTCTAACGATCATTTGGAATAAATCGATGAATGTGAACTTCATTTCATTTTGTCATTGTTTCTTCGTCAGTTTCATTAGGTGACTTTAATAACACTTAAAAATCAAATATCCCCTACTTTTTTTGAATAGTATATAATGCATCTTTTAAACTGGATCTGTTCATAGCCAGCAGAGACAACTTTACTGAAAATGGGTGTATATTAGGGTCTGACATGCCCCGGGTCCATGTTTAAAATATTAAGTCTAATTTATGTGTTGGTATTTCTTCAGTACTTTGTATCTAAGATCAAATCATTGTTTATATTATAAGGAAGGTCCAGATAATATAGATCCTGAGATTAAAGCTGTTACAGGACACAGATTTAAAGAAAAACAAAGCAGTAGTTCGAAATATTATTGTGAGAAATGTAATGGTGTTATATGGGGTATGATACAACAGTGGTATAGATGTTTAGGTATGTATATACATTTATAATATATGTAATGTCTGTTTGTTTGTACGATAACACATCTAATGGATTATAATTACCATGTGACTGCATTAAATCAAGTATTATCCATTCATACCTACACTAAATAGGTATATTAACACTTACACTTATAATGTTTTAAACCTAGTTGATTACTGTTTAATGCTTTTAATACTTACACTTAAAAATGTTTTAAACTCAGTTGACATTAATACTTACACTTATAATGTTTTAAACTCAGTTGATTACTGTTTAATACATAAATACTTACACATATAATGTTTTAAATCCTGTTGATTACTATCAAAAAGTTAATTGTTTTGAATTAATGGCATTTTGCCTCATTTCTAAAAAATTGAATAGTTCTATTAAATCAGTACCAGTAACCCCTTTTTTTTAACATTACTGACCTAATTTCTAGTTTTGACCCTATAGAACCCATTGATCTCTACTTGACACCTTTGATCATATTCATATGGTCTATTTCCACAAAAATGTAAAAAGTACAAATAAGGGGAAAAAAATGGTTTACTCAATATGTGATGTAAAATTTTCGCAACCATTAAAAAAAAACAATATTGTACATCAGCATGGAAGTACCTTTTTCCGAAAAATATTTTTACAAGGTTATTATTCAAAATAAAATCAGTATATATATATAAAATTATGTTGTCAAAATGTCCATTCCGTTATGTGGTAAAACTAATCATTCTCAACTTTGAACTTGAAAATCTGCTTTTAAAATTGAAAAGCCAGTAAAAATTACAGTGCTTTTCAATTAGCCATCCAGTAGAGTCGAATAAAATGTCCTATCGTTAATACTTTGTTAGCGAGTTAACCATACGTCCCATTATCATGTTTGTCACTAGGCGTCGCTATTAAATCAAAGATAGGGTTATGGTCAAACAGGAAAATCCTACATAATAGTATAGAAAGAAACATTTCATAGAATGGAAAATCCAAACAATTAAGTTGATCACACATGGTTGTCGCACAAATTGTATGTCTCTTCTGTTGGTCTGTTCCAAGACATAAAACACTGACTGATGGAGAGGTTTTCACTCAGAAAACCAGGGAATGAGGTGGTCAAAGCACTGTTAATATCATGCATGTTTATACAATGTGAAAGAGTGCAGGCAGTCAAAGTATGTCTTTTCTGTTATAAATAATGATAACAGAAAAGACTTCTTTTATCAAGATAGACAAAGCAAAAGATACTTTGTTAAATGGTATTCAAACATTTATTTAGACAACTGGAGTGAAATTAATGACTTTGAATTTTTGTCTTTTCCGTTATGTCTTTACTTTTAATCTTTGCTTCAGTGTACTCTTTAACTGAGTTGTTATTAGGATTCTTGGGACAAAATATTGTATAGTGTTATGAAAATGATCATTCGGAGGATATTTATTGATAATCAGCTGTTGAGACAATCTATTCTATAATAGAAATAGATCAACCTATTACTAACAACCTATTTTTCTGTTTAGACTGTGGTTATTCTTGTCATGTCAAATGCTTAAACCAAATTACAAGAACCTGTGCTAAATTAAAAGTAAGTACCAGTAATGGAAATTGTCAAAGGATCATAAATCATTGTAAATAAGTTCAAAATTGAACAAAATGTAGAATCCTTATTCTCAGTAATCAAAATTTGATACTTTTCATAGATCTAGGTTTCATTAAAAAAAAAAGAACAGCGAAGGTATATTGTCGTCCATCCGTCTGTTCACATTTTATTTGTGGACACTCTACAGATCAAACTTTTTATCCAATTTTAACGAAACTTGAAATATAGGTGTATCTCCCAAAGATCTTGGTTCCTTTTGAAATTGGCATGTATTGGACTGGAACTTCATGGATTATGACATCTGATTGTACGAAAAATAACGTTTTCAGCTTGTGGACATGTTTATAACCCAAAGATCTTAGTTTCTTTTGATTGTTGCCCAGATTTTTTGAAAAATCACAGTTTTAGCTAGTGAGCCCCCTAAAAGTCACAATTTGTATTCAATTTTAGAAAACATTTAAATATATCACTGTTACAAATCAATAAAGGTTGAGTTCGAATTTTGTAAAAATCTGACCAAAACTGCCGGACAAAATGGCCGCACCTTGTATCAAAATAGTGTAAAGGTATGTAATTCCAAGGTTGTGGGCCTCTAGAAGTCACAATTTTTATCTGATTTTGATGAAACTTGAAATGTATGTTTATAATCCAAAGATCTTGGTTCCTTTCGATATCGAACTGTAACTTTCTGGATTATGGCCCCTGATAGAGGTCACAATTTTTATCCGAGTTTAAAAAACATTTAACTGTATCATCTTTACACCCTAGTGACGGTTGAGTTTGAATTTCGTGAAAATCGAATTGAAACCAGTATGTAATAATACCAAGGTTGTGGACCATCTAGAAGTCACTATTTTTTTATCAGATTTTGATGAAACTTAAAATATATGTTTATGTCTGGAAGGTCTGAGTCCCTTTCTCTATTTGCGCATATCAGACCGTAACTTCCTGGATTATGACCCCTGATTGTACGAAAAGTTGCGTTTTTAGCTTCTGGACCTTCCAGAGTTTACAATTTTTATCTGATTTTAAAAACCGTTTAAATATTTCACCGTTACACCATAATGAAGGTTGAATTCGAATTTCGGAAAGATCGAAACGAAACTGCCCAATGAAATGGTCACAATTATTATCTGATTTTGATAAACTTAAAATATGAATATATCCCGAAGATCTGAGTCCCTTTCGATCTTTGTGCATTTCCGACCACAACTTCCTGGATTATGCCCCCTGACTGTACAAATAATCACATTTTTTATTTAGCTTGTTCTCTATCCATTTCTTGCCAAATGTGGGCGTATCTTGCCTGGCAACCGCTGGTTTGGTGATGCTGTATCCAAAGCAACATACAATTATAGGTGGGCTGAAATTCGACCATGTATCTGTTATCGCTTGTTACTTCAGTCAGTTATATAGAAGGATAACTCGTTTTCCATTTCTTGGGTCACTTCCGTTTCTTCAAATCTTCATTACACATCTTTTGTAGCAATGACCTCTGTTAAAATTGTATTTGGAATGTGTTCAACCAGTTCAATCACATATGAGATAATGGCAGACACCAATATTATGCTTTAGTGTGTCACCATTTATATTTAATTAAGAAAAAACACAAAAAAACGCCTAATGTACTTAATGTAGAATGGCATTTGAGATAATATTTATCATTGACAGGTAGAAGAAAATCCCACCTATTGGTTATCTATTTGCCCACAGAAAAGTTTAGCATCTCAGAATTACAGATGTTTTGAGTGTCGACAGCAAGTTTCCTATAGTATGTATAAAATCTAATTGATCATTTATACAGGCCTTGAAATGTTTAAAAAAAGCTAGCTTTTTTCATACCTGTCGCTTCAGTAAATAACCTGTCACTCTTAATTATCAAACTCAAAGAATAATCACATCACACATATCCATACATGTAGGTACACACATACGTGGTTAGGTCTTTGACGTACATTGCTCTATATAAATCTCGTAATATGAAACCTTTTTATTTCTTTGACATCGGAATGCCTAAAAGTTCTTGAAAGTGGGCGAATCTGCTTCTCGGCGATTCGAAGATTCATACAATTCTATCATCTGTATCCACGTGATTTCCGCAAAGTATCATGGTACCACACTTCCGTACTAAATCGAATACTTCACTGTTGAGTTGTAGAATTCAGATTTAAAAATATCCGTAATAAATTGAATATCAAAACACAAATCACACCTGTGCATGGCACCGTATTTACATGTACCGCGTGCGAAGGACAGATAACGCCACCTGGAATTCCCTTCTCACATATCCAGACTATTTTTACGCTACAAATTATATTTATATATGAAATATTTTTCTGACCTGATTTTTTGATTTTCTCAAATTGTCTTATAAATTATTCATAGCCTTTATTTATGGAAATTGTTTAAAACTTTTTAAATGATTAAATACACCAAGCAACGAGCCGTGTGCATTTCCATTCCAACCACTACTATATTTACTTTGGTGTCGTTGCGGTAGAATTATTTCAGGTGACTTGGGGGTGCGTTTTAATTTATTTAGATATAATACTCCATAATGCTATAAACTAGTGTCAAGCAGATCAAAACAAGCGTAGATGGTGTGAAATTCATTGATATCAAATTGTCTACTTCCAAACTGTGTGAGTAACTGTCGCCTACGACAGAGCGAAATGTAATTGTAAACAGTGCAAATGGCGGCTTTTCGCGGTATTTCCGTGCTTATTTCTTGCATTTAGAAATGAATAATTAAATGTACGTGACAAGGACGTGAGTATCGTGGTCAATTTACTGAACATCAAGTAAAATCATTTAGAAACGAATAATTAAATGTACGTGACGTGGACGTGAGTATTGTGGTCAATTTACTTAACATCAAGTAAAATTTAGTCCACCTGTCACAAGCGACATGTAGTTTTATTTGCTACCTGTCAGACGAAAAAATCGCGACAAGTAGACAGGCAAACATTTCGAGCCATGAATTTATATCTTATGAGTAATGTGCAATTGAAATTGTTATCTCACCTGTAGGTAAATCTGTCCATCCCAAAACTTATTGTGAGCACTCTACAGAGTATACAGACTACATTTCATTTATGAGCCAATCTTTTAAAAATTTATATATGTTGTCAACATTAGTGGGATGCAGACATCTAATTATAACAATTTCCATTCATTACATCTAGAGTTATGGCCCTTTTTTGCTTTGTAGAATCTAATATTCTTGTGACAAAAGTGATCATCCAATTGCTTGAGATAGATGTGCATTGTTCCACTTAATGAAATGAAGAAGCCAATTGAATTTCAACAATTTCCATTGATTGCTTCAAGAGTTATGAGTTATGACCCTTTTAAAATAAAAATTATAAAATTGGATTCTCAAATTGTATTACTGAAACAAGGCAGTCAATCAAATTTCAACAATTTAAATGTGATACTTCTATAGTTATGACCCCTCCTGACTTTTTAAATTGTTGTAAATTGATTGCTTGATATCTTTGAAAAAAATAAATGTGCGATTAATTAATATTGGTCATCTATTTATTTTGGGATTTCGGCGGGGGACATCAGCCTCACTGTTGGCTTGTTGTTAAACTTACAGTTACAACAATCACTGATAATTACATAATGCCAAGGGGCACTATGAAGATTGTTCAGTAAAATGATTTTGCTTTTTATTTTTAAATATTCCACAAACTTGAAATATAGGTTTATATCCCAAATATCTTGGCTTCTTTCGATATTGGCATGTGTCGGACTGTAACTTCATGGATTGTGGCCACCTGATCGTAAGAAAAATCATGTTTTTAGCTTGTGGACACTGTAGAGGTCACAATTTTTATCCGATTTTGATAAAACTTAAAATGTATGTTTATTACCCAAAGCTCTCAGTTCCTTTCGATATTCGCACACATTGGACCATAACTTCTTGGATTATGGCCCCTGACTGTACGAAAAATCACGTTTTAGCTTGTGGATCCTCTAGAGGCCACAATTTTTATCCAATTTAAAAAGCCCAAAACTGCCGGATAAAAAACGTTTAAATGTATCACCGTTACACCCTAATGACGGTTGAGTTCGAATTTCATTAAAATCTGACCGAAACTGCCTGACAAAATGGCCGCTCCTTGTAAGCAAATAGTGCAAAAGTGTGTAATACCAAGCTTGTGGACCCTCTAAAAGTCACAATTTTTATCCGATTTTGATGAAACTTAAAAAAAATCTTTATATTTTCACACATTTAGACATTTCTCCTAAACAATTTTCAACCAAATTTGTTATGTATATTGCAATGGAGTTCATATATCCATAGCGGTGGATCCATTTTCCCATTTACTTTTTTTTTCTGCCGGAATTCAGAGAAAACAGTGGGTATGAACTGAGAAGGAGTCTGTGTATGGTATGCTCCAGGGCCCCTAAAGACCTTTAATGTTCTCACATAGTTTGGGAGTCTTTTTCAGTTTTGAATTTAAATCTGCAAAAACAGGCAAATGTCGACATTGCTCATAGACAGAGAGAATTTATTAATGAATTTAAAGCCAAGGGGACAATTGTTAGTCATTGTTGAATCATTACACACCTGTGTAATTAAATGTGTTTAGGTGTCGGCAGTGTCCTTTTACTGTACAATTGTTGTGAGTCGCTTCATTTCTCTACTTTCATGAGCTCAACTAATTTTTTTTTTATATACTTTGATTAATGTTTTGTTTTATTTTAAACCTAGGAACTGGCAGTAATGTACCAAGGTTATGTGATTATAGTGGACAGAGTTATTGTGAATATTGTCACTGGAATGATACTATGGTTATTCCTGCTAGAGTGTTACATAACTGGGATTTTGAACCTAAAAAGGTAGCTAATTGCCTTTAGCTCATTGGGCCGATAAGGTTAAGAGTATTACCGTATATATCGGTTGTGTGTCGTTGTTTTAAATTATCGACTTCAACTAAACTGCTTGCTTGATATTGTTGTCAAATTTGGTAGGTATGATCCACTTTTTGAATTGAACACAATAAGAGGCATTTACTGTTGACTTTCTTGATTATAGCTAACCATCTGTTAAAACATGATGGTAACACAGCATGTATTGTTCTAAACATTCTTATCTGTTTATGCAAATGTATCAAAGCTATCTTCAGGTCTGAGTTTTTGTTGGAATGTTATGAAACTTCTTCTTTGATTGGCATTTAGTAATTGAACCTATTAACACAAAGTACAATTTTATGGATACACAATTACTGAGTTCAAGCAAATGATAAAGACATGGGTAACTTCGCTTAGTATTAAACTGAGCAATTGTGTACCATAAAATTGTACCTTGTGTTGTTATGCAACTTCATTATTTTCTTTAGTATGTCTATTTGTAATATAATCATGTTTTTGATAACAGTTCCTTTACTTATCTTTCCGTATGTCCATACACATGAAATTTGATTGGTTGAGACCTTGGGACACAATAAATCTTCGTCAATTTGAGGAAGAATGTTTAAACTTTGTGCAGGTGAATGTCTTGACAAAGTACTATTATGAACATTTTCAGCTTAGCCTAAGCAGCTATAAGCAGTTTGATTGATCAAAACTTGGGGATGCAATAAGTCTACTTCTAATTGAGGTAGAATGTTCAATTTGATGTAGATTTTATATTCGAGGCATAGCTGCTGTGTGGGCATACTTCCACACCTTGCGTGGATATCTTTAAATTTGGTGTGAAGCATTGGAATCAGAGAGGATAACGCTGTAGATTTTCAATATTCTAGGTCTTTCTGTTCCAGAGATATAGAGATCAAATTTCTTGAATGCATGAAGGATCCTTAATGGTTATCCATTTGGATAATCTGCAGTCTATGGCAACCTTTTTTTTTTTAGACAAAGCTGCTATGTGGGTGTAATTCCATGGCTTGTTTGGTTTTATTTTGACCTTCTAATATTGAGTAATTCAACAAGATAGGATACCTTTTTATCTTGTAGTTGTACGAATTCATATTCTAAGCGAAATGTTCAATGCACACATTATTAACACAGGTTGTTAAGGCCCCTGTGCCGCTTATATTGTGAATATATATTTATGCTGTGTTTTATCAACAGGTATCTAGAGCATCTAAACAGTTTCTACGTCTGATGTATACTAGAGCGGTGATAAGAATAAATGATATTAATCCCATGTTGTTTAATTTCGTAGATGAATTAAATGAAATAAAAGTAAGTAAATTTTCACTTGAGTTTTGAATTGAGTTGTTATTTGAAATATACAACTGGAGAGGGTTTATATAGTTCTGTAACTTGACTAATCCATTATTAGATATAGTGCAACACTTATGTGATCTGTGTTCACTAATGCATAACCATTATTCAGTACAAAATTTATATGGTTTGTTTACTAATACATAACCATTATTCAATACAAAACTATAACATATACCTGGTAGTCATATATGTTTAAACACCAGCTATCTTGCCATTACTCGGGCTGAAATACAAATGATGTCCATTTTAAGAACTACGCATACTGAAATAAGGCTGATGTGTTTGTTGAGTAAAATAAAGCATGCTCCTGCATTTAAAGCGAGGAACCACCCAAAGAATTGGATGATTCATTCTGACTCATGATCAGTACAAAAACCTAGGACCAAATATGTAGTACTCACCAGGGCTCAAAATTTGCTAATCTGTATCTAAGGCCATTTTTTGAAAAATGGCTGTAGACAGCAAATCCTTGAGATTATCGACGGCCATTTTTTTAAAAATCTGTTGAAAACTTAAATAAACTTCAATAATGATATGCAGTTGAATCAGCTCTTACCAAGTTTGGGTTCAAATAAATAAAAAAATATTTTGTGAATTGTTGTATTCCGACAGACTTGGAAAAGAAGAAGGGCTCATCTGTTCATTTTATTCTGCATGTTATAAAGAGACAAAAAGCACGAGTTTTTGGCTGCAAGTGCCCTCAAATGCCTGTTGTTCAATCCATTTCAGTTTATTGAATAAAATATTGTTTAGATTAAATGACATTGAAATTTTCATGACATACGACATTTGATTTTTTAATGACACGCGCCCTAAAACGTCCGCTAATTATGCTATGCTATTCAGGGATTCCGCGCATATTCTCTTCCTCCGCGTGTGATGATTTCCAAGAAGTCAATGCGCAATCCATTTACCGTATATTTGTCAATACTCTTTTGCCGCGGAAGTCCTGGCTCCGTCTTGTAGGCCTTCTCCGCTTGACATAGCCTATAGATGACGTTAAAACACAAATTCACATTTCAAAACTTTTTTTTGTTAGAAATTGTCTCTCCACGATGCCAAGTGACCTCGTCTGTCGTCTGCTAAACTGCTAAATAGGCTATAGCGCATGACTCGCGCACTATCATGTATAGATAACAAAACTACTTCCACTATATTCCAATCGAAATGTTTGCCAACATTTCTAAATATTTTTAGCTTGTGTATTTCTTTATTTGAAAACATAGCCCCCATTCAAAATATATTCATAAAACCTAGAAAATGCCATCAAAATAGAATCTTTTCTCTGACATTCGTGCTTGTCAAAATTTTCACGTTTCAATCTCGTAATTTCTCGCGTCTCAAGAGATCTCTACTTTGGGTTACCAATCATACAATTTCTGCTTTGATAATTTGTTCTATTTTTAGTAACGTCATTGGTAGAAACAGAACACGAACATTTGTGCTTTATAAAAGACAATTATCGTGGGAGGTATTGAGCTAGCCAAGTTTTACGAAAAAAATGCATCTCACACAATATGAAATTGACTTCCGATATGAATCCTATCGATGGCAATTTAAGGTATTTCTACGGCCAATGGCGGTCGTATTTTATTGATATTTTTCCGAAATTTACAACAGCATGTTTTCGACAGCAATGGCCTCGATGGGTTTCGTGAATTTTGAGCCCTGCTCACCACTTACATTATTGGGCTAGTTGTTACTTCAAATTTGTACTATTTGTTCACAGATTAAATAACCTCTCACCAAATACTGGTAGGGTAAGGCCAATAAATGACCAATACTAAAGTATATTAGTTTCATTTCTAACACACCTCTTTAGATTGCGAACTGTACAGTGTATAGACAGTTATATTATTATTAAAAAGTATATGCATTTTTATATTGAATACTTTTAGAAGCTAAGAGAAGAGTTGTTGATAATGAAGAAGTATATTTTGATATGTCCTCAAGCCATGGAGCTAAAACTTTTGAGGGAATTGAGCAGTCGTCAACATTTCGTAGAAAGTAGTGACATTTACAGTATGAAAGATTTAATGGAAGTACAAAGTGATGCTTTATTATCAGAAATAGCCCATGTTCACTCTACTTGGGCTCAACACATTAAAACTGATTGTGAGGTAAGATGTTTAAAATGAAGGATTATTACTTTTAGTCTGTTTAGCCTGGACTTACTATATTGTACCCTATTCAGTTGTCTGTTAGCTTTTTACATTTTCATCTTCTCCTTTTAGTTGTGAATTCAGTCAGTATTGAACATTATGATTTTCTAACTGTTTTTCTGTTGTACAATGTGAAGATTTGCTGCTGGTATATGCCCATATTTTCATGTGGATATATTATGTCTTTGCCACAGTGTGTCTATGCATCTATTTGTGCAGACATCTGTTGAACAGATTCTGTTCACATTTGTTTGTGGACACTCTACTGGTCACAATTTTTAAAATTTTTATCTCATTTTGATGGAACCTAAAATGTATGTTTATATTCCAAAGATCACAGATGAATTTGACTTTCCCTACTCAACAGGCCTTCCATAGACAAATGACTGGTTTTTATAAGCCATACTCACCTCCTTACCTTGCATGTCCACATAGATAATTGACTGGAATGTTGAATTAAACTGCCATTGTCTTCAAAGAAATCATCTTATCACGCAAAACAAATGTCATTATGTTTTTATCCAAATCAAAGAGATTTTTCAGGCTTTGTTACAAAATATCCAGCTGCTACAACACATGAATAGCTACTGGTGGGCATATGTTTGATTGTTAGGCAACCTATTTTTAACTTCTAAGTTACTGCCCTTTAATGTACATATACTATTGTAGGATTAATGCCCTTTTTAATTAACCCCAAATCAAAAGCTTGAATATTTCAACTGATAAATTTTTTATTCCAGCGTTGTCAAGGAAGAGGTTTTGTTTGTGAATTGTGCAAAGACAGTGATGTATTATTTCCGTTTGATAACATCGCGGTTGTTTGCTCTCAGTGTTCTAATGTTTTACACAGGTACAATTTTTTTTATTTCTGAAAGCCTTGTTAACAAAGGATGAACCCATTCGATATTCAGCATTCAGCAACCTTCCATTCTGGAATACATCCCTGGCTTGTTTAAATTAGTGAAACGTAAAGATCTATTAAATGTCTGTGAAGTTATGGCTCTTTTCACTGTGTGGAATCTTGTGAATGCAACACAATTTAGTCTTTGAATTTGATCCAATTGAAATTTATATGCTTTATTCAGATTAGTACAATGAAGAATCAAGCCTTCAACAATTACTTCTAGAATTATGACCCTTGTTCACAGAAGTTTTAATAATTATAAATCTTAAATCTATATTACAGACACTGTTTTGCCCAAGAGGGAAAATGTCCAAGATGCAAAAGAAGAGAAAGAAGAAAGGATGATTGAATATTGTTATTGTTTTCTTTATAATTGCTTATTTACTTTAAAACTTGAATTAACTGTTATTGTTATTGTTTTCTATATAATTGCTTATTTACTTTAAAACTTGAATTAACTTTTAAGATATATTTATTTTATATGAATCATTTTAACATAACCTTACTTTTTAAATTATAATCTTATTTTAAAACTACCAGGCTTGTACTGAAAGTGGTATTTAGTTATTTCTATTTGATTATAATACAGATTTCGAATTTTAGAATTTAGAGATAAATGGTGGGACTAATTTTATTTCTATTCTTTTTATCATTATTGTACATAGATAAGCCTCCTAAAAATATCAATAATCCTGTTACTGGTCGTATTCATTACTGTTAAGGGTATTACTTAAAACCGAATTTGTTTTAGATACATAGCTGCATAATCTAGAACAGGGCTGTATATAGGATTTTAAAAGTGGGGGTGCAGCAGAGTGGTGGGGCGCCAAATTAATCCCCAGTTTACCCATTGGAATGTGGGTGCCCTTAAAAAAAGACAGACTGATCAGTGCCTTAAGAGCATCACTGTGTGATCATAATCAAGTGTATTATTTTATGATTGAAAGTTTATCAAATTACATGGGTTGAGAAACTTTAACAAATAAAATATCCCAATTGACCAACAAGATGAAGTTTGAAATAGTTGTTATGCCGTATGGGTGGTTTACTCAAAATATGTCATTTAATAGCCTATTTATAAGGAATAATATTAATATTTAAGAGAATAAGATTTTTTTACGTGAAAACATGTTATCTTGAATAAATAGTTCAAAATTTCGTTTTACTTGTCTTTACTACACTAGGATCTTGAAGAGTTGTTATAGAATAGTCCAATCCCTAAAGTAGCTAAGTCTCTAACTCGACATTGAAAACACGAATTATTTGTCAATTTAAATCAACATTGATGTTGTGATCTTACCTGGAAAAGATGGGCTTCTGATATCCAATATTTAAGACAAAATAAACATTTTACCATTGGTACACGAATCAGCACCATTTGTAACAAGGAGATCATGGTAGCTAAGTGGGTAAGACGCTGGCTCGCTAGCCTGGAGGTCGGATGTTCGATCCCTGCATTGGCGGAGAAAGTTCATCCAGATTTTCCGGCGTGGTTTCCCCTTGTCAGTGATGCAGGACGGAGGGCCTGACAAGGACAGCTGTCTAGTCATTCGGATAGGATGAAAAACCGAGGTCCCGTGTACACATTGGCGTCCATGTAAAAGATCCCTTGGCAGTTTGAATTCGATATAAAAGTAGGCCGTAGCGCCGCTGCCCGGGCAAAATTTCCCTCATATCACAAACCCCATTTCATTTCATTTGTAACAAGGGACTGAAAGAACGAGGCTAGCCATATTCCACAAGTCCACTTGGCAAACCTCAGCAGATTCCAATACCCTACATCTAGCCTCGGCTGTATGATGAAGTCCGCCATTGGAACTACTTTCAAGTTCCCGGATTACCAACGGCGTTGCCCATGACCAAGCCTTTGAAGAATGTTTTATCATACAAATATTTCAAAGTCTGAAGCTGTTTTTCTTTCAAGTTTATCCGATTTTCTTCAAACATAGGCAACTTTACACTAAAAATTTTACAAACGCTTCAAACAATGCAATTTTGATAACAACTTTTTAAAAGCGGCAAGTTTTCCTAATTATATATCACTTACCGAGTGCCATAAGTCATGTCAAACGGTGACGTCATATTCTTATCTGGAGAGCATGCGCAATAAAAACTATCTGTGTAGATTGGAATAACTAGACGCTAGAGATTGTCATTCAATTGAGACTTCTCCGGTATTTCGCCGAACATAACTCAGTAAAAACAGAAACGATTGAATGTAAGTCCATTTATATACATTCATGTTACATTATTATATGCGTTGTGACCAATTTGTGTCAATTTCGAGGTTCCAAATATTAGCCATTTAGCTCCTTTAATGTAAATCTGTTGGCTTTTCAGGTAGAAATCTGGAACAAGCTTTATTTTGTAGATTTTGATGTTTGATAACAAAAAACAATGTTGACATTTTTTCTGAGTAGGTCTACATAGTATGGGACGCCATTATTTGAAAGATAGCCATTTTGCGGTAATATTCCAACTTATATTTTGTTTTCAACTTATTTATAATGTTATGGATATATCAATAATTGATTTTCCACCGTATTAGTATTTACAAGGGTCATGACTATATTTCAGATTGTTTTTCATCACTTCATGAACATATTTCCAAGATGGTGGCCATTTTTGGTGGGAAAAATCGGACAATGTGAAGATTTTGATTAAGTAGTGGTGTTTGGTGTCAATATACATGTTTTGGGGGTCGCAGATTCCATTTCTGACATTTGTAACCTTGCAAATGATAACATGTTCACATACTTAGCATATTGCCAAGATGGCGGCCATATTTGGCGGAAAAATGGAGCGATGTGCAGATTTTGATTAAGAAGTAGTGTTTGGTGTCAATATATGTTTACGGGGGCGCAGATTCCCTTTCTGAAATTTACAATCATGTAAAATGATCTCATGTTCACATATTTAGCAAATTTCCAACATTGCTGCCACTTGTGTAGGAAAAATCGGATGATGTACTGATTTTGATAAATAGTGTTTTTAGTGTCAATATATATGTTTTCGTGGCGAAGATTCGATTTCTGCCATATACAACTGTGTAAAATGATCGTATATTCATCAATTTAGCATATTTCCAAGATGGCTGAACATTTTCTAAACATGAGCTCCATGGAAAATGCATCACTTATTTTTTCGTATAACAAAATGATCCTGTAAACATATCTTATTTATTTTGCTTCTTATTGTGAACAATATTCAAATGGGAACACATCAATAACAACACATTTGTACACTTATGGATGTTTAATCTGTAATCAACGGTACAAAGTCAGAGGGATCAAAACCAAAAGTACGACACAGATGTCAGTAGCGCGGGTGTCCTCCACAGGCTCTTATGCACGCTGTGCAGCGACATCGCATGGAATTTACCAATGTTTGAACGATACAGACGGCGTCCAATCTTATCCCAGACATGTTCTATCGGCCAGTCCAAGACATTGATTTCGTTAGCAGCCAGGTAGTCCATACTAAAACGGGCGGTATGCGGACGTGCATTATCCTGTTGGAAGTGCTGAAGTTGTGGGTGCGCTCGAAACATCGGAACAACAATTGGTTGCAAGACATCATCACGGTAGGCTACAGCATCAACGCGACCCCTGCAAATGTGTAGGGCGGTCCGGTGATGAAATGTGAAGCCTCCCCACACCATTACACTTCCCCCACCCCATCGATTCGTTTCGAAGACGCAGTAGTCTGCAAGACGTTCCCCAAGACGTCTCCACACACGTTGACGGCCATCAGCGTGATAAAGATGAAAGCGACTCTCATCACTGAAGAGCACACTTTGCCAGTCTACTCTTCTCCATGTCTGGTGTCCTTGAGCCCATATCAAACGCCGCTGACGGTGATGATCCCTGAGGATAGCTCCAACATAAGGTCGTCATGCACGGAGTCCTACTTCACTTAGACGACGTCTTACGGTGTTGGCACTTACTGGTCCTTGTTTTCCGACGACTGCTGCACCTGTTCGAATCGCTGGTTGGAATCTGTCACGCAGATGAGTGACCCGGATGTAGCTGTCTTGAGCCTGGGTTGTAACGCGTTGTGGACCAGGACGTTGACGGTCACGTGTTGATCCAGTAACTCGAACACGTTCCACCAACCTTAAAATAGTGGACTGATGACAATTGAAGTGTCTGGCAATAGCACATGTAGACATGCCAGCCCGGACATTCCCATGGCTTCATTCCGTTGATTTTCAGTATGTCTCGGCATCTCTAGCTCGATTCCTTCACACGTCCAACAACAAATTACGACAGATTGACGTTTCACAGTTCATGTACTGCACATTAAAATGAAATGAAATGAAATGAAATGAAATGGGATTTAACGTCTTACTGTTCTGCTCCTATACTGGGCTACTGAAGACGGGCATACGCCATACAATGTGCTATGAGGGAAATTTTGCCCGGGCAGCGGCACTATAATTGCCTACTCTTATATCGAATTCCAACTGCCAAGGGATCTTTTACGTGCATTCCAATCTATTTTTCGTATCATCTGAAGGACTAGACAGCTGTCCTTGCCAGGCCCTCCGTTCTGCACCACTGACAAGGGGAAACCCCGTCGGAAAATCCCGATGAACTGTCTCGGCCAATGCAGGGATCGAACACCCGACCTCCAGGCTAGCGAGCCACCTAGCCACCGTGGCTCCCGTACTGCACATTAATTTGAAAACATGCTTTTAAAGGGCTCACACACAATGCTGCACGTGAATATTGGGTTTTTCATGTGCATCTCGTGCAATTTTTTTTGTGCACACTGGCCGATATTTTTTGCGTTTGGGAGCATTGTGTGAAACAATAGTTCATAGTATTGCATAATACAAAACCACCTAGTAATAAAATATTTGGGGAATAAAATGATGCGTTTTGTTTGGCGCTCAGTATATAATAAATTATTTACTTGTCGTTGTTATTTACAGATTTCTGAGTCCAATTCTGCTATGTATTATATATATAGTCTATTAGCTTGCAGCACATTCCTGAAGGCCGGCACCGAGTCGTACCATTTGGTATATTATCCAACGATGAAAATTCCTCATCCGAGATGCCCACTGAGCTGATATCGATTTTCCTGGCATGGTGGCAAAGGGAGCATAACGGCAGTGTGGGACTTGCGCAAATAAGCGTGGCAAGAAATTGACACACGTCCATCATGCTCCTGTCAAAACCACACCAAGCGCTTACTACGCCTAGTGCACTCCAGTCAAGATCTTACTATACGTTGATGGCCAGGCTTTTATGGAAGGGTATCGCTGCCAATATTAAATGCTCTGCGACAATGTCGTTTCCATTGATTATATGTAAAAAGTACAATGTACAAAGTCCTAATACCGATATTGATAAAGTCAAAATACATCTAAGGCAAGAGTTAAATGTAAAACGTCAAATGTTAAAGGAGCTAAATCGCTAACATTTGGGACCTAGAAATTGACAAAAGTGGGTCGCAACGCATATAATACTGTAATATGAATGTATATAAACTGATTTACATTCAATGGTTTCCGTTTTTACTCCAATTTCAAATCAGTTATGTTCGGCGAAATAAGCCAGCAGTCTCAATCGAGTGCAAATTTCTAGCGCCTGGTTATTCCAGTCTACATACGCCGTTCGATTTGATCATAGAACTAGAATACTAACGGGAACGCCCACCGTGTGACGTCACTACCTTATGTGACGGCGGGCCTCTGACGCTGATATCGGGCACAGCTTACTTCCGGTTTCTGCTCGCACTAACAAAATGCCTGGCGCGAATTGTGTTTTGTTCGGATGTTCCGCCTGCAATAAAAGAAATCGGGGTTGATCATTATATCGCTTACCCAAAAACAACATAGAGTGGAGAGAGAATCATTACGTATCATACAGTCTACCAGATCAGACCCGATAAATGACAAGACCTTGACAATATGTTCAAGACACGTTGAGCCGGATTATTTCGTTGAAAAAGTAAGTGAAAACTCAAATCAAAAGAAATTAATTATGTAGATTCTAGTTGGCAGTCCACCCTGACAACCTACAATGAAGTTAAGTTAAACCCATACTAGCTGAATGTCTGTATTTTCATGTTTGCCCGTTAGATTTTACCCTTTCTCTCATCAAAGTTGTATGCATATAGGTTTGTTTACATTAGTGCCGTAGCTAGGC